CGAAACGAAACGAAACGAAAGAGGCAAAAATTCTGCTTCAACCTCTGCCTCTGCATGTTCAACATATGGCAGCAGGCAGGGCTGATCGGCTGATCGGCTGATGGGCTGACAAAACAAAAAAATCCAGCCACGAAAATTGGGGTAGATTTAGAAAGACTTATCTAAAGTCAGAAGAGGAGTCAAAGCCACAGGCGTGACTAACGAGTGCTACAGTATGTACATATATTCTTCACAAATTCCCCTCCTGTTTTCCAATGCCACAACATACGTGTACTCTTCCATCATTCCCCATTCCAATGTCGTGCAACAAGTCCAACAAGACTAGACGCCAGAGTGTCTGGCGAAAAGTGAGCCGCAAGCTACAGAGATATGTACATACATGCGCGTACATACATATGTCCGTAAGTATGTAACAGCGACAGCTAGATACTAAGATACATTGCAACACATTGCAGATACTACTCGTAAAAAGGCCAGCTCAAAGCGGTGGCTAGCAATAGTAAATAATTAATAGATACAAAATAGCGGAGCAATCAGCTGACGAATGCAATTGATTTCTGGGTAGCGTACAAGCGGCTAATGTTATGCAATTACATCCAGCAGAGGGGATGGGGAGGGACAGGGAGATGGCCATGTAATTGCATGGCTACTGCCACGGTTGTATCTGTCAGATACGAAATGCAGTTGGGATTGAGTCACAAAACGCCCTGGACTGGCCTGGCTTGGCCTGGCAGCAGTTCGTGTCGAGGCAATTAAAATGAAAATTTCTCGCTTGGAACAAAAAAAGTATCTGTATCTCTGCGATGGGCACCCTTTGACTTTTGGTCTGCTGATCTTTTGTGAGTCACGCAGTGCGGCACACTCGCCCATCCCTCCCTCCAGCTGCCACCCACCCCACTCACACGTGCGTCAGAAAGAAGACCGCGAAATGAGAGACGGAATTAGCATGCCACACATATGTGGATACCAGATACATTTGTATTTAATTGCCATTAATTGCGGCGGGCGCATCCATTAGATGCGTACGCGAGCATCGCATCGGGCATGCCATATGCTCGATTACACCACAATTTTGCGGCTGCCCCCCCCAACACCTTGGAGGGAGGGAAGAGGAAGAGAGATACGATTTCAGCCACTTGCTGCAGATACATTTGTATCTTGTGATTCCGATTTCTTAAGGGGAAATAATTTATTTATTAATGAAAGTTTTTGCCACATGATTAATGATTTAATGTTTTATTTTACTTCGATATTTTGATTAATGTCCTTGCATATCTCCTTGGCAGCAAAAGCCATACGTGACTCTTTTCCACATTGTTTTCATAGTTTTTCCTCATTGTTTTTCCTTTAAATTCCAAGGGTTTTTGTATCCCATGCAAATGAGGCAGCAAACTATTCAAAACCTATTCCAAAAACATTGAACTCTTGCCCCGAATTCACGCGAATGGCGCGGCACGTAATCGAAATTATTGTTTAATTGAAGACGAGACCCACGCCACTCCACTCCGCACAATAAAACAAAAAAACAGCAAACAAAATGCTGTACCGAGAGTCGACTGTCGACGTCAGCAGCAATGACAATAATTAATAACAAAAGCAGCAAATGGCATTCAAGCCTCATTTTGCCGTTTTCATTTTCATATAAAATATCACACGAGAATCAAATAAAATACAAATTAAACCTGAGCAAAAGGTGTGCCACAGAGGGAGGGACGAACGAATGCAAATACAGCCGCCATGGGGCCGCCCGGTGTACGTATGTATGTACATATGTGAGAGAGATTATATTTATTTATAAGTGATAAATTATCCCCCCAGTTGCATTTTAATTAGCTCTACAAATAAAATGTGTTTATTTTCGAAGCTGTTGGAGGTTGTGAATACTCTTTGATACTCTATAAAGATGGAAATCCCAAGAGGAATCTATCATTCTATTCCATTCCCAACATGAATATACCCCTCTTTAGTTGAAAGATAGGATAAATATGCAAAATGCAATTGTGGTTGGCTTTGGCAGTTGATAGTAAAGCTGAGGCACACAAATAATATAAAATAAATGAATATGCGGACACTACTCGTACAATATATAATCGTTGAATGAATACAATGATACAAAAAGAAAACAAGTGGGCTGTGGGCTGTAATTGCTGCTAACCGATGTAGGATTGCCAGCTGCCTCAAGGCGGTGCCTCATGCCTCTGTTCTGTAGGCAGTGCCTTATGCAATGCCCCTCTCACGTGATCTCCCCCTCCGTAATGATGATGATTCACCCCATATAGAGAGAGAGAGAGATGGAGAGACAGAGAGCAACGTGAAGGCCTCTGACGGCTGATAGCAGCAGAAATGTCACCCGCCTTCCATTGACTTCCCCGTTGGACGGAGTCGTAGCAGCAATTTATTAAGCGGCTGTCATCAGTCTCCGCGTTTATAATTGATCGACAGAGAATCAGAGACCTCAGGGGTTCACAGACTTTTCCTATGATAAGGATACAGATACAAGTACGGGTATAGTGGCAGAACTGGGATTATCTTCACCGCAAATGATTCGAGAAATTAGCAGCAGCTGAGATTCATTCTCGAGGAGGTGGCGGTGCGTTGGCTTTTCTCGATGGTCTGCTAATTGGCAAAAAAGGTGCCGCCACCGCCCGCACTCTGAGTTATTTGCAAAGTTATAAAAACTAACATCTGGTGGGCGGATATTTACCATCTGAACGTTTCTTTTTATTGTTTTTTAGCGATGGAAACCCTTGCTTAACCGGAATGCAATCATCGCTAAATAAAAACGATTATAGATCTCAAAGAAATAAGAAAAAATATACCAATAAAAACCATTTCCCAAGCTAGAATCTCTACCCATAATTTCGAACACAAAGACTTCCATTTTGCCTGGTTTTTCCTTTGTTTCACCTCTCGGAAACGCAAACAAAGCAAATTTATTATATTATTCTGCATAAAATCTATTGCATTACTGTGTAAAAAGGCCATAAAGATTGCAGGAATGTATCCATGCCTATATATAGATACAATATGTAGCCATAAGCAGTGGTAACATTTTTATCGAGCCACATGGCTCTCTATGGGGGTTTCCTCTGATAAAAAATGTCACGAAACTAAGCTGCAAACTCTCTTCGATAAGAAACATGATAGCCAATTGATCTGTTAAACAATCTCTTACGATATGATAAATAACCAATAAACATTCACTCGAAACAAAAGTGAACTGCAATCTTGAGAGCTCCAAGCCACAATTGTGGATCGTAATTGATAATATCCTCTTTCGCTTTCGGGTTACTCAATGCCTCTGCCGCGAACATAATCAAATTGCTGGCTTTTCAATTTGAATTTCCATTGGTTCAGCACAAAAACCAGCAGCAGCAGCGAAACAAACTTGGAGACTGGAGACGAAGCCTCTGGGGCTGGACTGGGACTGTTGTCAAGCGCATTTCAATTTGCATTTTTCACTCTTGACTTGCAACTCGTTTTTCTGTGTCACTTTTGAGGAGAGACCCCTTAGACCCCGTCAACCGTAAACCCTCTCCTCCTGACTCTCCGTATGTCCACAATCGGGTCGGCTGGCGTCACGTGTTTGGGGTTTTGCCATTCGTTTAAGTTTGTTTTGCTGTTCGTAATGTTGTTTTGCCCTCTGTTTTGAGTTCCAGTCTCAGTCTCAGTCTCAGTTTCAGTTTCGATTTCTGTTTATGTCAACTGAATTGAATGACTGACAGATTGGCTGAATGACTGACTGAATGTCTGAAGGGGGGCGTTACCGAGTCAAGGTGGCGGCAGATCATTGAACGCTATGGGACCAACTCAAGATCGTTTTTCATGCACAAAACTAAGAAAACGCTAGAAATTACTGTACTTTGCTTATTAGAAATTGACAGGGGATCACAAATGGATATCAGAGAAACTTTTAATAATACTTTTTGTAAGATCAAACCTTGAAATTTCAGCTCTTAAATGTGAATCAGCCTAAGTTCCCAGCAAATAAATGCCTACATATATCAGCACTTCTAAGAATAGTAAACCATATGCCATTCAAACTATAATTGAGCTCCGCAAAACTTCCATTACCTTAGGTTTCTTTTAAGGGATATTTCCCATGCCTTCGGGCCTCTTTCGGGGGATACCTCTCCACGTATGCTTTAATCAGACAACACTTGCTAAGGTTCCCCCCGTGGAAAACAGCCTGGTAATTGCCACAATTAGATAAACAAACCATTCCTCAGGAGGGTCAGACTAGAGAGGAGAAGTGGAGTGCGAGAGGTGCGATTAACAATGGAATATGGGCCAGGTGTCGTGTGGCTCGAATGCAATATCAATTGTAGGAGAGGAACAATTCAACCGAATCAAGTCCAAGTTCATAAATTGGCCCCAACGGTAGGAGAGAAGTTCAGACATATCGATGGAGACATACACGCAGAGATAAAGATCGAATAACGAACAGAGATCGGGAATCAATCGACTATAGAATAATCGTTGCACATGAAAATGCCATAAAATCCGTTCAAGCTATTTTCAGACTATATTTATGGACACCCCGACCGCTTTGATCATTCAACTGGTTTCTGTTTTTGGACTGCAAGAACCATTAAACGAAGATCGCTCGATGCATGATCAAATATTCCATCCGAAAAGCCCTCCCCAGATCTCGTTAAACCGCATTCGAATGTACGACTACAACCGAATGGAATATGAATATCCGCATAGTAAATAAGTATGTTCCGAGTGGCTTGGGTTTGAGTGGAGGAGAGCGAGAGAAAAACAATTTATAATACAACAAATACATGCAATTATTGATTTTATAAGTAGTGCCGTGTTTCTCAGATTGTTTTCTCCCCTGGTATCCTCCTATATCTGTGTGTGTTTCTCTGGTGTTTCCAAACGAATAATATTCGCACGTATTCGCATTTGTCTGTGGGGGGTGGGAGGAACTCCCGACCGTCCGTCCGTCTACTCTGAAGACACGAGAGACTCGCATTTCAGTTGCGTCGCGACTGTGAACCTCTCAAGCGGTTCTCTGCTGGGAAGAGCCCTCGAAAACAGATACGAATATCGGTTCTATACCTCATACAAGTGTAGATACACTAGGAGTTCGGAAAAGGAGTTCCCAAAGCAGTGGCAGATACGAAACTATTCCTAAAAGCGGTCTTAAGCGGTTCCCTACAGATTTCCAGATAGAAAACTATCTTCAAGGCAGAAAAGATACATTCGAAAGATGAAACTCCATCGCATGAAGCTGCTCTCTGGCTCCGCCGGCACCCTCATCTTTGCCATTCTCTTCGGTTGGGTTATGTTCCCAAAGATACTCAAATTTATGATCTCCAAGGTTCATAAAGTGCTTCGCGTATCTCCCGAAGAATTATCTCTAACAAAAAGTATGTCTAATCCGTAGCAAGTAACTCTAAAGCCCGGCACGGATGTCAGGGAACTGTGGTCGAATACACCCTTCCCCCTACACTTTTATTTTTACGTCTTCAATGTCACCAATCCGGACGATGTATCCCAAGGGGCTCGACCACGTCTCCAGGAAGTGGGTCCCTTTGTGTTCGAGTGGGTTTTTGGCATCCTTGTTGGAAATTTGGAAATGATTTTCTTCTCTTTTCAAGTGAATGGAAGGACAAGATTGATCTGGTGGATGATGCTGTGGAGGATTCGGTGACCTTTACCATGAGGAATACTTTTATTTTCAATGCGGCGGCATCGTATCCACTGACAGGAGAGGAAATTATTACTCTGCCACATCCCATTATGCAGGTAAGAGAATCCCTGAGCGGAGATCGACCTCTAAAGATGGAAAGAAATTAATTTAAAGATAGTTAGATACTTCTATAAAACTTTACACATCCGGAGTGCGCATGGATGACGTGTCCGTCCCCCATTTATTCTCTCTCTCTCTCTTTCTGTGGGAATTATGCAAATTGCATTCTCAGCAACACAAAAATTAACCTATCAAAATGTGAAAATCATATTAGAACTGCAATTACTCAGATACTTATCCGAGAGATACGCATTAGAGGCCTGCGACGAACAAATGCGACACTCATTCATTCAATCAATTTATCATAGTTATTATATTTTTCCCTTAAATTTGCTCCAGCCTGGCGGCATCACTGTGCAGCGGGAGCGTGCGGCTATGATGGAGCTGATTTCCAAGGCCATGTCTCTGGTGTTTCCTGGGGCCAAGGCCTTCCTCTCAGCCAAGTTTATGGATCTGTTCTTTCGTGGCATCGATGTGGACTGCTCACCGGATGAATTTGCTGCCAAGGCCCTGTGCACAGTGTTCTACACGGGCGAAGTGAAGCAGGCCAAGCAGGTCAACCAGACGCACTTTTTGTTCTCATTTATGGGGCAGGTAATGGTGCTTCTGGGATACGATGCTCCTGTCTCTGCAGATCCTCTCAAGATCTCTTTGCTTTTAGGCCAATCATTCGGACGCTGGACGCTTTACTGTCTGCCGTGGCGTGAAAAACAACAAGAAACTGGGAAAAGTCATACGATTCGCAGGGGAAACCGAGATGGATGTGTGGCCGGGGGATGAGTGCAACCAATTCCAGGGCACCGACTCCACCGTTTTTGCCCCTGGCCTCAAAAAGGAGGAGGGCCTGTGGGCCTTCACACCCGATCTGTGTCGCTCCTTGGGGGCCACCTATGTGAGGAAATCCTCGTATCATGGCATGCCATCCACCAGATTCACACTCGACCTGGGGGACATGCGTTCTGAGGAGAAGCTGCATTGCTTCTGCGATGATCCCGAGGATCTGGACACCTGTCCCCCAAGGGGCACCATGAATCTGGCACCCTGTGTGGGGGGTCCTCTGTTGGCCTCGATGCCTCACTTTTACAATGCGGATCCCAAGCTTGTGGCAGCCGTTGATGGCCTCCATCCGAATGAGAAGGATCATGCGGTTTATATTGATTTTGAATTGGTAAAAAAAGGAAGGGAAATCGGTGCAGGATACATTTCTATTTCTATATCTATCTATATTCACGTTGCAGATGTCTGGCACTCCCTTTCAGGCGGCCAAGCGCCTTCAATTCAATCTCGACATGGAGCCCGTGGAGGGCATTGAGGCCCTGAAGAATCTACCAAAGCTCATCCTTCCTCTCTTTTGGATCGAAGAGGGCGTGCACCTGAACAAGACCTACACGAATATGGTCAAATACACGCTGTTCCTGTGGGTGTCCTTTACGAGTACCTCTAGAAGTGTCTCCTGCTCTCATAGATCCCTTCTCTCCCCTTTCAGTGGCTTAAAATTCAACTCTGGCCTGCGTTGGACTCTCATCACCCTCTCTCTGGTGGGCCTCATGTCCGCTGCGTATCTTTTCTATCAGCATTCGGACAGCCTGGACATCACTTTGCCCCCGAAGATCCTCAAGGAAGTGAACAAAGTGGCCGATGCGGCCTTGAATTCAAAGCCCTTTGCTCCCAAGGCTCCTATCATGCCGCAGGCGACTATTCCGGGCACCAATCCTCCCACCAATCCTGTCGCCCAACCTCCTACAGGCATTCATCCTCCTGTGGCCTCGGTTCCAGGCATTTCTCCACCGCTAAATCTCAAAATGGAGCAAAGAGAGCGCTTTTAGAGGTTAAGAGAGCAAGAGGAGAGAGAGAGAGATCTCCGCGATCTCTGGGATCCACTGTACCGATCCCCACCCCACTGTAGTTTCTTAGTAGGGAAGCACCACATGTACGAGTAGTTTATATTAAATTCAAATGCTAATAAAATGCGACAGAAAACTTGTTTTTGGTGCCCATTGGAGCGGGCTTTAATCGATGATGAAAATAAATCATCGAATGAGCAGGAAAATCCACTGAAATGTCGAAGGAAATTGGTTGAAAGATTGATTAAACAAAGGCAAGTGGCAAGTTTATTTTCCTGAAAGTTTTCTTAATGATCTCCACATTTAAGTGTCGAATCCTCCTCCCAAAAGGTCACGTCCTTCGGCACACCCGTGTCGCTTAAGAGCTCCCTCAAATGTCCACACTTAATGGCATCTTCTTTGACAAAGAAGTCATAATCCACATCCTTGATGTAAATCTCTCGTAGTTTTTCCTGTTGTATCTCTAGATAGTCCAGATCTTTCAACTCGGCCAGCATGTCCATGGGATAGGTGATGCTCAAGCGCTCCAAACGGTTCGATTTCCATAGATCAGGCACCCCCTTGAGCTTCTCTATGCCCGACAGATCCAAATCCATCAATCTCGTGGCCTTTGATAGAAAATCCAGGCTCGAAAGATTCGCATTGGCCAAATGGAGCTGCTCTAGGGCTTGGGGTTGTGTAAGTCTCACATTTTCCAGCTGACGATTGTTCTCCAATTGAAGACTGATGATACGGCCATCGAGGATCACAGATGTTAGACCGCAATTGGAGGCCTGCAGCTCGTTGATGTTTCCTGTCAGATGAAGTCTCTTTAGCTGTGGATTATCCGAGAGTATGAGATGTGCTATCGTTGTAAAAGTATTCATGGATATCCGTTCTAGTAGATTATTTCTAACTGAGAGGAGTCTCAGTTCTTTGAAGAGTCCTCTGGGCAGTTCTTTCAAGTGATTGCTGTCCAGATTTACGCTCTGAAGTTCCTTCAAGGGAGAGAAAACATCTAGCGATATAATCTTCAATTTATTGTTGGATAGATTGAGTTTTCGTAGCTTTTTTAGATGCAAAAATACTCCCCTAGGGAGTTCCTCCAATTGATTATCGGATAAATTCAAATCCTCGAGCTCTGTCGAAAGATCAAAGGTGTTTCCTTCCATTTTCCTAATAGAATTTCCTCCTAGATTGAGTATCTTTAAGTTCTGCGAACCTTTGAAGCACTCTTTTTCTATGTGCTGCAGCTCACATTCCAGAACATCAAATTCAGCGAGTTGTGGCAGACATTGAAAGACATTTCTTGGTAGATTCGTCAATCGGGAACTGTGGATGATCAGAGCTTTATAGTTCTTGAGTTTCTTTCCTATATTCTCTCCAAAAAATGCCACCTCCGAGGGTGAGGGATACTCCAATCCCACACAGAGGCTCTCCTGACAATCCAATCGCTCCACTGCCACTTCCTTTAGCTGTATCCGCGTCTGTGACTCACAAATGGGGGCCACAAACAACAAAATCGTCCACAGATCTTTTAGTTTTCGCAGCGACAGCATCTCTGTGGATCTCTGTTGATGAAGAACTAAACATATAACTGGATTTGAGATGCTTTTATGTCACATTTAAGACGAGAAAACAGAACACGACCTTCGGCAAAAATACAGAAACAGAGCATCAAAAAACTGGTCTTCAAATTTTGGATTTTTGTTTTGTTTTTCTGATCATAAAAATTTATGATTCCTCTTCAATGAATATTCGCCGGAGCTCCTCCACTCGGCGATTATTTTGTTCATTTTGAAGCAATAGCCGGGCGATAAGCACGTTCTCTCCACTCGACACTCGACAATCGACGGAGTCCCCCCAGTTCGAGTAATCCTATAAATTATAGGCATTTGGAATACTTATCAGCTGATAGGACGGGAGTGCCGCTACCGCTCTGCCCGCTCTGGCCACTCTGTCACAGAAAGTGTGTCTCAGTTTTGGCCTATATTCATTCAGGAATATCCACCAGCAATTTTTCCCCAAGCTTCGATTTTCACTCTTATTTAGGGGCAAATGCAAGATGAGGGTGTTCAATAGATTCTCGGTAAAAGAAACTGATGTCAGAATCTCGTTGAGAGCAGTATTCTGTGGGCCCTAACATGGAATCCGTGCCTGTCTCCTATATTTGTATGGAGTTTCCCCCTAGCTTCAGTTTCTGGTAGTTCTACTATACCTCGAAAAGAGTCTGTATAGCTCTTCGGGGTTTTGCATTCTCATAATGTCAGAATTTCTATCCACAGTTTTTATTGGTTGAACAGCTTGCTGTCCCTTTTTTGGGTGCTATTATCTATTCGAAATTAATCAATAATTATAGTAATTATTTACGCAATCTTTCAATGGATACTTTTGCGTATCAGAATAAACACTTTTGTTCATTAATTTTACAATCTGTAGATATGCGTGACACTTCCGTCGATGATCGATATTCGGGTACATAGTTCACACTCGTACAGAGGTAAATTGCGGCAGTTTCCGTTAATCCCCCCAAATACGATTCCACCACTGAACCGCGCAGTCAAAAATCTATGATTATTAATATTATGCACTATTAATATTAATATAATGCACTTTTTCTACCAATATCACTCCGTAAATCATCCATTACTCATAGACAAACATTAAAATCTTCTATCCTCTTAATTATCCATAAAGTTTTAATAGTACTCAAAGTACTATAAACCACCAAGTGGTTGGCTCTCTGCATTAATGTGCAAATTATCTCATTTTCCCCCTCTAGAATTATATCATCATTCTGTGAACAATTTCGTCATCGTGTGAACAAAAAATTTCTGTGATTTATTTCACTGGAAAATCTTAAACATTTTGCGCCTGACTTGAGCAATAAAATTAATGAAATAAATAAAGTGCTATAAACTGACAGAAGGCGCCACATAAAAGAGCAGCATGCCCCACAATAGACCTCACTTTACTCATAAAAGTACGAACAGTACGTTCTACATATATAGAAAGAGATATCCAGCGTGACTGATGGCTATATATTATAAGATATATACAAGGTATATGTATATAAGAGCACGTATTCCCCTATTTTATATTGCATTTGTTTGCACATTAAAACTATGGGGGAAATTTTGTTGATTTGCATGGAAAGGCAGTCTGAGGCGGAGGCGAGGCGACGATGTGTGCGGATCGGAACGGATCGGGCGCACAGAAAACAAAAGAAAGGGAACAGAAAAGGGCAGAGAACATGTAGGCTACAACTCTTGGATACACTATGGCACTTTAGGAAGCTCTTGCTCTTAGAAAGATCTCTCAAAATGTCCCACACTGTTACATATATCCCCACTAATGCAGCATACCCCGTTATAGAGAGGGAGCACTACATTCTGATGATGATTCCTTCGTTCTCTCCGAGTTCTCTTGAGGGATATGCAAAGTAATTGCTGGAAATTGAATTGAAAACAAGAGTGCGACATTCGTTTTATATCGCTAAACGAAGTCATGCCATTCCAATTGAGAACCCAAGCAATATAAATAGATATATAGAGAGATATACATACATATGTACATATTTATGTAGACATCATCGTACATCATGGCTCAAATAATTAAAATACCATTGGACTACTACTAATAATCATCTTTAAACAATAAACAAATACTCGTAAGCAGATCAATTATAATTTCCAATGACAGGGGAGAAATTCCCCTTTTGTTTGCTTGGAATAAAACCTTAAGTCTCCCCCTCCCATGAAAATAGCAGGCGATAATTCTCAACAAGCGTATAAATTTGTTTGTTGAAAGCTTTAACCGACTTTGAATTTGAATTCCTTTAGCAATTTAAATACTTTTTTGTTGTTGTTTTTCGTTTGTCGTCATTCGTTGAGCTGCAAAATAATTGAGCGACTAAAAAGCAGGTTGAACGTGTTCCCCGTTCCGATAATAAATTTTTTATAATTTTTATGATATTTTTCCATTAATTAACAAGCGTCTTCGGCTTCTTTCACCTAATAAATATTATAAATTGTAAGTAAAATTTCGCAAGAATTTGATTTGAATCTCTGCCAAAATGATTCTTTGTAAATAAATAGAAATAGAACAGCCCTTAAGGCAGCATTACTTGCAGAAACCCCGTTTCCTATAGAATGAAGACTCTTTGGTGGAACATGAATCATCTTCCAAAGCAGCAGCAAATCAGAGTGATTTTTATTATATTCTAAAAAGAGACTTTTACGATCTACAAAAAGAATAAAATGTATACAAATTTTTTAGAGGAATGTACATATGTACATATTTCCACGGGTTTTCCATGGGCGGGAAATATTCCAGTCTACGGCCAAGTCTCTGCTTATCAGCAGCCAAATGATTTCCACCTTCTGTGTGCCACAAACAAAAGCTTCAAGTAAATTAAGTAAATAATACTCCATGATAAGAGGGCAGACGGAAGAGCAGAGCTTGTTGGACTTGTTGGCTGGACATTTCATGGGCTGAAATCTGTTTATGACCATAATATAGGCATTCTCTATAGAACAGAACCACCAGAGCGCGCAACTTCAGATAGACAGAGACAGATACAGACATAAAGAGTCGCTATATGTACTCTCCTCTGCTCTCTATAGAAAAAACCCAACCAAATAATGATTCGAATGTATTGTAATACACATGTCAAAACGATGATGACAACAAAATAAAACAGATTATATTTAGCTGCCACATACGATTACTACACATAGTAGCCAATTCATTATTTTCTCTATAAAAATCGCAGAGAGAGGGAGAGAATATTAAACATTTAATCGAATGAAATTTGAATGTAGATCAAAGTTTTCTTTAACTGTAACTATAAATATCCCAACGATAATTTAACGATGGCTGCCACAGGAGGAGTGGGTCTCACTGAAGTTAGAGTATTCACTGAGCCGATCTTTGAAGCTCTGCTAAATAAATGTATATATTTTTTTTTTGCAAAATCAAAACACCATGAATACTCGATAGAATGAAAATTATATAGAAGTAGATGGAAGGGCGGTATAGCATTATAGCATTATAGCATTATGGCATCATATTCGTGGCTTATCGTTTCAGTTGAGAGCTGATCGTGAACCGCGGAGCACAGCTACAGCCACAGCCGCACACGCTCCAAATGTACGTCCGGAATTGCCTTGTGGTGTGGTCCCTGGTGTCTGTGGTGCTGTTGGTGGTGGCATCAGCAGAGATCCCACCAAATCTCATCCGCGTGGAGAGCCTGACGGATCACTGCCTCGTCAAGGCGGAGCAGACCCGCTGCACTGGCTTTAATTTCGACAGCGACGGCGAGAGGGCCTCCTTTGACCTTCAAACGGAGGTGAGGATCACCCCTGATGGCAGCACATACGAGGTGGTGGGCGATGACCAACCCACGGGAGCACTGATCTTCGAGAACTGCACCTTTGTGCACTTTCCCGCCAGGCTGTTGCACAGTCTGGAGGTTACCGAGCTGGACATGCGATCGTGTGGCATCAGGCACATGCGGTGGGACAGCTTCGCAATGGGTGCCGAGAAGCTGGTGATTCTCCTCCTGGCAGACAACCTGCTGGAAGAACTCAAGGATAAGAACTTCAATGGAGCGGGAAATCTGCAGTTCCTGTTCCTCAATCGGAATAAGATCGGGAATCTGGAAACGGACACCTTCGATGGTCTGCAGAATCTCCAGTACTTGGATCTAAGCGAAAACCAAATCGAAGAGCTTCCCCCAAGGATCTTTGACGACCTGCAGAGCCTCCAAACAGTGGTCCTGGCACACAATCTGCTGACGAGCATCGCAGGCGATTTGTTTGCCTACAATCCCCGCCTCCATAGCGTTTCCTTGCACACAAATCGTCTGGAGGATCTGGAGGAGCACGCCTTCCGCGTGGGGACGCAGCACCGCCGGCTGCATTCGCTCGATATATCGCACAATCCCCGGCTGACTGTGCTGCTCCTCAACCTGAACGTCAGCCGCTTGATGGTGCGCAACTGCTCGCTGGACCGCGTCAATCTCTACGGATCGGTGACGGAGGTCGACCTCAGCGATAACCGAGTGCGGGAGCTGTACTTCCCCGCCTCGGAGACCCTCGAGTATTTGGTGCTGCGCAACAATTCGCTCGTCCAGATGGCCTCACTCACGCGTGTTCCCCGCCTGCGCCACTTGGACGTGGCTGATAATCCCGGACTGGCCCCCCTGCCCGAGGACTGGCAGACGCCCGAGCTGGAGGTCCTCGATTTGCGGAGCACAGGACAGCAGGAACTGCCACTGGAGGCGCTGCAGGGGATGCCACAGCTCCGAAAGCTGGATATTTCCGGGAACAATCTCACGGATATCGATCCGACGGCATTCCCACTGCTCTCCGAACTGACGCACTTTTATCTGCATGCGAACAACTGGAACTGCTTCAGCCTGCGAAACATCATGGACATCCTCATCCGCTCCAATGGCATCACCTACACGGTGGACACTGTGGACCCGGATTTCCCTGGGGAATACATCCATGGAATTGCGTGCATGTACCGCCAGCCAGAGAGGGAGCCTCTGGGAGGCTATTCCTCCACTGAGATCGACTCGGGCTTCTCCGCCAGTGTGGAGTCTACGCAACAGATGAGCGAGCCCGCAGAGGTTGAAAAACTTCGCAAGGAACTCAAGTCCGTGGTGCAACATTTTGAGGCAAAGTTCGATAGGATAATGGAGGCTTTGGAAAAGCTGAACGATCGCATGTCCTCCATTGAGAAGCTCAATGACACCATCTGGAATCAGGTCACACTTTCTGTTTAATTACTGTTTGATCTCCAATCTAAGTGTTGTATTGTTTGGGTAATAAATTTGCTTATCGATTTGTTTTGAGCTCAATTTCCGATTGGTCGTGTATCGAGAGAGCATCGACAAAGAGATATCTCTGCTGGCAATGCCCTTCGCCTGGCCTTCGCTCTGGCTGTCGCCCCGTAAAAATTGCAATTTGCTTGTAAATATTGCCTGTATTGTTTTTTGTTTTGTCGAATACGTAACAAAATATTTGCACGAAAATATTGATTTTCAAGCCAAAGCAAAGTCGGTGAGGGGTTGCCTGCCTTTGGCTGCTCCGATGGTCGGCCCAAAGATATGGAAGAAGAGAGGTTCATTCAACTCTTGGGGGAATGAAAGAATAAACAGAACTGAATTGGGAGAACCCGAGCTGAAATTGCGTAAGTAAGAAAGTTTTTACCAGAGAGTTTTCCTACAACAATTCAATAGAATTAATTACATTGATGGCCTGCTAATTTCCAAGATAAACAAAAACTGTTTCAGTTTGCAAGCAAGACCTAACGACCGTGTTCATGCGATCTGTCTATATAACCGATTCACTCTCTATGTACATATGTATAAATACATATGTACATATGTATACTCGCACTCCCTCTGTATATACACAAAACTCTCTGTGCGGTCCGTGTTTATTCGAAATGCAGTTTTCTGTTTAACGGTAATTGGCACACAACTCGTGCCGATCGGCGCAACTGTAAATGTTAGCATTCGATATTACCATATTCTCTATACTATATATAGTATATGTACAAATATATTCCGCCAGAAATCAAAGGTCGAACACTTGATGTGTGTTGGCTCCACAGGTCTTTGCGTCTAATTGAAAGGTGTTTCAAAACTAAGTTACCAAAAAGAGATAATACGGATAATGTCCCCCCCAAGATTGGGAGATAAAGAGCAAAATGTCATACGCGCAGCTCATATCAACACAAAAGAAACGCAAAAAGGCATACACAAATAAATCATATATTTTTGGCAATTTAACAAACAAGTATAGGGAGGGGGTGGGGGGTAAAGGGTAGACTAAGAAGTAGCACCAACCTTTTTGTTTTTATTAATCAGCAACTGGGAGTGATGTTGATTCTCTTGTTGAATGGAAATTTAACACACACAAATGCACTGACACAGTCACCGTCACAATTATGTGAACGGACAAAAAAACTAGTTGAATTTTGTAAACAATTTCGCGATTAGGCTAAAAATCATTGTAAACAACAAGAAAACGGACGTTTATTGAAGATTAAACCGAAAATATTATTATTATTATTTGAGTTGGCTGGGGGGGGCAGGAGATGTTTAAACATCCCAAACACTTGGAAGGTGTTGACTTTCGAGATTAGATTAATAACATTTCCACACTCACACACACCAACACCAACACACACAAGCACGCACTCATTTCTCACTGCTTAAGTAATTATCAGCCATTTTGTTCAACACCAAATAAATCACACACCAGCAGCAACAACAACAACAACAACAGCAGCAATAAGGAGAATTAATTGATTTTAATAAATACAATGCGAGCGGGAAAAATTATTCGGGCGCGCGCTTTTACTTTGGATTCCTTCAAGAAGGATAGAGCGAGAGGGCGAGACGTTCCACTGATCGGGTCAGAACTGTAAGCATAGGAGGGGGTCGCGGGTAGCTGCTGCTGCTGATGCCCACGTCACTGGCACTCTCACAAATTTAATTTATTTAAGAATTATTACAACAAAAAGCAGCAAGAGTCGCAACGAAATTAAAGAAGCAACGAAGGCAAATAAAAGTGTTTATTTGTCCATGGAAAATTTCCAAACTCTGCCAAACCTCCCCCCGTCAGCCAGCGTTTGCTTCCCATGTACGTGCGTGCGAGTGTGTGCTAGTGTGCGTAACAGCTGATCACTGATTATTGATTTTTTATTTAATTATATGCTTGTACACTCCAGCACAATTGTTGCAACAGGCTGATCAAGTAAATGATAAATCCCGACTGGCCTGGCGTTTGCCAAGTATTTTGCGCACATTTCCAAGACACCAGAGCAAGAGATTAAATGGCAATATTGCACTTCACGAGGGGCTTGTTGTTGTTGTTTTGTTTTGTTGGATTTGTCGTAAATAGTCGGACGACTACGAATTCCATTCGCGCACAATTAAAAGCTTTGCACGCAGCTTATCAATATTATTCGCCACCAAAATCACACATTCCACACACACACAAATATCCAAATATCCAGCCAACTGTTGTTGTTGTTGGAAGTATTGGTACCGTACACAGACCGTACCGACCGTACCGACCGAGAAAAAATTTAAATTTGTTTAATATTAAATATACCGCAATATACTAAGAATTGGTGCAACATTTTCAGGGCAGTATATCATATCGAGTACGGCAACCCTATGTTCAGGGCAGTATTTCATATCGAGAACGGCAACCCTATTTTCAGGGCAGTATTTCAGCAGTGTAGCAGTCAGCTTTTGTCATACAGCAAATCAGAGCGCGCCAAAGGGGAAACAATTTAAAAGTATAATTCGAAATATTTTGCAGGCAAAGTTGGAAAGATACACCATGTAAAAACCCTATCGTTGAGCCATAAATAAGAAGCATTTTTGGCCTGGGCATGCCCTTGGCCCCCGCTATCAAAATCTGTGCCAAATAAACAAACTTTACAACTTCATTTTCACCCCAAAGAAAATCAATAAAAATGGCGCATTGCACTGAAGCCATGACGCCACCAGAAGCAGCCAAAGCAATACCAACTTCATTCTCCATTCACCATTTCCCTCCACCCTGCCACTCACCTGCTCAACGTCAAAGTCCCATTCGGGCGAGGGAGAGCGTGCTGCTCGGCCGCCGGGAGGGGGTGTACGTGTACCCAGGGCCGGGGATCCTGCCTGCGGCTCCTCGGGTATGACAGCGAAGCGCCCGCGCTGCAGGATGGGTGAAATGGCGCCATAATTAGCTGCAATGGGAGCAAGCAATTAGCACGACAGACAACAAGCAAGAGGATTTCGATCCAACACTTACACGTGGGCATCAGGCGGAAGCGTCCCAGCGTCGTTTCCGGAGGTCCTTGGGGGGTGGATGATGTGATGCGGAAGCGTCCGCGGCGGGCGGCGGCCACATCCTCATAGTTGGCGCCCCCTGCCGCTCCTCCTCCAGCACTGCTGTGCATGCTGTTGTATTATATTTTAAACGTTAATTCAACACCACAACACTGCAACAGAGAGAGAGAGAGAGTGAAAATCAATATGGCCGTTAGCTTTTGGTCAGTGAATCGCATCGCATCTCTAACGGGCTCCTTGCACGCAACGGTTTCTTCCAGCGCCTCAATGTGCGCTACTAACGGTGCCCCCCACTATGGCCATCCCGCTCACTCATGCGGCAGGAAATCATCATTTTAAAGCTCACAAAAAATGCAATAAAATGACAGAAAGCATTCCTCAAAAGTGTGCCATTCAAGTCATTCAACTGCAGAAAGAGATGGTCAGACAGAGGGGATTGAGAGCAACCAAAAGATACACAGAGAGAGACAGAGAGAGAGAGTGGTCAAACAGCTGTCTTCCCGCCACGCGACAATGCGGCGTATGTGTAATATTTCGTCAAATTGAAATGTTCTCTTTCGTTTTTCGCATCGTTAATTACAAATTCTGACGAGTTTCGCTAGAAATTTATTAGTTTATTTTGTTCGACACTTTTATTGGACATTTCTACACATCAAAGTGAAACAATTACGAGCACTGATGGCATGTCATATATGACGGCTAGACGGAGGGGTTACAGGGGGTTTTTTATGGCGATATTCTTAAAGGGAAACTTATGGAGGAAGGTAATGAATGCATTACTTTGTTTGACCAGAAATTTATCTCTTAAATTTCCCATTTTACGTCACTGATTTTGCATTTGTCGTCTTTTATTTCTCAGCTATTTCTTGGCACTTTTCTAGAATTATTTCGTCTTATTTACGTAAACAAGTCAATGACTGAACAATCTATACATACATATTTATTTGATTCAACCATTTTACGAGTATTTACATACCTAAATAAATTTGTTTCTTTTTTTGTTCTGTGTGTTCCGTGCCCAGAAATTAAAGAACTCTTAAGTTTATTTTGCTATAAGTTTATTTGTTTTATTAAGGAAATAAACACTCTTATTGGGGACATTTGCTCGATAATCAATTTCACTTGCATTGAATATTATTTTGTAAGCTTTATTTTCCGATATTTCTCGTGACTTGGCTGTCATTTGGCCGTTGTCTTTCTGCGGCACAGGCAAAAGAACGTTTGCATAACACGCACATATATAGTACATTTCATTCCATTCCGATACATAATATACTATAGTATGTTTCAGTTATGGGCATAGCCACTCTGGATGTTGTTCTCGGGAACTGTTTGATGATTTTTTATTGATTTTCTGTTCGCGTTGCTCGACAAATTAACACAGAAACACAAAAAATACAACATTAAAAAACACAGACCGAATAATAATATTTAGAACTCAACCCGGTGCAAACACTTTCCCACTGTGGAGCCGTGGAAATAATAAAAACAAAGAGCATGCGAGCTGAAACAAAGCAGAGACACAGGGACAGGGAGAGACACAGCCAGAGAAAGAGAGAGAGAGAAAGAGCAAGCGGCTGGCTGGGACTGCGGAATTTCGCGTTTTGTTTTATGCAACTGCCAAAAATTAAATTGGCCAACAACAGCGACGAGACCGAACGAGTCCGAAAGCGAAAACGAAACGCGGCCAAAATGAATGCAGCACCAAAATAAACCGAACGAAATTGCGGCCGAAGAAGCCAAAAGAAAGAAAGAGCAAGCAACAACAAGTCCAATAACAAGAGTCCAAAATGCATTCGCTAATTGGCAAAGAGAGCGCAAGCCAGGCAAGGTATACTCCATGGAAGGTGTGGGTGTGCAAGAGAGCGGCCTCTTTTTGGGAGCCAAACTTGTTTTACTGAGAAGCAGAGAGAGTACTATCTTACCTTAGAATTTCACATAGGTACCTTAAAAGCAACCAAAGGAAACAGAGAGATGGAGAGGGAGAGAATACCAGGGAGAAACTGCATTGCATTGGGGGTTCATTGAAAGACGAAGCAGAAAAAAACAAATGGTCGCATGTGCAATGAAGAGAGCTTCAGCGAAGAGAGATAGAGAGAGCTGTATTATGTTTAATTCATAAAAGCACAGAGGCAGAGCAGAGAGACCTCGCGACGTCTTCCACAGAACGAACCAGAAATTGCGTATACGCAACAACAACAAAAGAGCGGTCGGCCATCATCAGCTGTTTCCTTTGCAAAACCAAACACGTGAGTGCACAGCGAGGGGGAGGAAAGGAAAGAGACAGAACGGAGGGATTGCTTGGTGCTAATTGGAGATTGTTTCTACAGATGCCGACGCTCATCTGATGAGGATGGGGGCGGACAAGGAGGATGCTGATGATGAAAATAAAACTGAAATTTAATTGGAAAAGCGTATGACTCATTTCGCTTGGGCGGATTAATAGTGCAGAAGGAAGAAAAGAAAGAGGAATAGCATCCAGTATCCAAATCATGCCTTGATGAAATTAACTTCAGAGAAAACACACCCAATAAAAAGTGTGTTCGTTTTATATCGATTAAAATTCGATTCAATTGATTCTGTATTATCTGAAACTTTTAATTTTAAAAGCGTATTTCCCGCTTTTTTCCCTATTCCAGTGAATTATTTATGTGAAATCGCCAATCTAATCAATAGCAATCTGCCGTTCACTAAGCGCACGAAAACATAAAGAAATTCTAAGGAAAATTATAAACAATCTCATTAATAAAGAGATGATGAATAGATTTTCCTTTTGAATTTTCTTACAATTATCTCAGGCAAAAGCGAACTATCCCATCCCATCCATCATTATAGTCAACAGTTTAGAGGCAAACAATTTTCACGTTTCGCTTGGCGAAGAATCTGACGCGATTTGCGTCTGAGGAAAAGCAGCGCGGAAAACTTTTGCCCACCCACAAAGGAAATTTCTGCTATTCTCGTTGGCTTTTCTTTGTTTTTCTTTTGGGCGAACATCCAAACATGTGACTCGGACCCCCCCAGCACGACCCTCCTTAGTGGCAGTGGATGACATCATGGGCGGCGTAGTGGGGGGCTTGAGTGACGACGACCTGGTCGGGCAGACAGTTGGGCCCGAAAAACAAACACACAAACGTGTGAAATATGAAAAAAAAAAAACAGTTTATAAATAGAGAAAGAGCAGCTCGATTCTCTTTTACTTTTGGCCTTTATTGCTCACATAAATTGGTTGTTGCTTTTATTTTGGTCGAATGTCAAATGCGTTTGTTGGCCTCCGGCTCGGGCGTCAGGTAAGAGAGCCGTGACGACCACAACCCGGCGAAAGTGAAAGTTTTTAGGATCCGTTCTACCACATGCAATTCAGAATTTATTTAAAGTTTAAACACATGATGTCAGTATTTGTATTTGTTTCGACTATCAGCCTGTCCATATAATCATTTGCAGATGTCTCTCTGCCCCAGACATCGAAAGATGTGCGATAGCTAAATGCGGCTCTCTATCTGTGTCTCCCACTCACACTCTCTCGCTCTCTCTCTCTCTGTGACGCATTATCAGTGTGAAAACTCATTTCATTGAACCACATGTACATAAGTAAGTATATAAGTACATAGCCCGGTTGTCCGGGTATATTATTTATGCATTTGCTCTTTTGTTTTGTTTGGGATTCATGAGTTTATTGTTGCGCTCCGCTCCGTACTTGTGTGGGCGATAAGAGGGGCTTTCCACTATCTGCCGCCGTGGCGGCCGCTAGCATAAATCACTTTCCCACTATAATTTCCGTAGATAGTACGTGCAAAAGTATGAAATTTAATAAAACTACAGGATGTGCATATTTTTGTCTGATACTATAGGGGAAGGCACTTCGCCGGCTTCTATTTGGACAGTGTGCCAGAGGGAGAGAAGAGAAGTTTACGTCACAAGCACATCAACAACAACCAAACCGGCAAAATATTAACGGTACAACCACCCACCATTCCGAGAGACGAGGGCGAGAGAGCGTTCACTTCACGTTGGGGGTGTCTTCATGTTGAGACACATCCTCTCACCCTCGTCGAATGGCTTGACAACATGCGAGACCATATCGAAATTTTGCAATGCCCTGCATCTGGTTTGCCGTTCAGATTACTTGCCATTGTCGCATATATTTCACAATTACTTCGATGGCTTGTATCGCCCCACTCACTTTCGATCGAATTCAGTCGCTAAAATTAAGCTACATCACTGAGAGACACTCACACAGGCACAAGCGGACGTCACCAGGGGCAGGCAGTGGTGGTGGCCAATACACACAGGCAAACAGCTGGCAGCCCCCACCAGCAACAACAACCAGCAGCCAACACAAGAATAAGAACTCACCGAATGGCAAAAATATTGGGATTTATGTAAATCAGCACGGAATTCGTTCTGCTTCTGAATTGATTATTCTTAAAAACACTTTTAGGCACTGGTTCGGATCACAAAGCATGCATAATCGGCATTTTGTTTGATTTCACTTACGACACGACACTCGGAACGGAAGGGAACGGAACTTTTATTGCAATTTCGCGCGACTTTATGCCGTATCCTTGGGCTGTTACGCGGTCACCGCTGCGTTTGTTCACTCTCAAAGACCGTTCACGTTAATTTCACCTCATTGCCTTTGGTTGCAGCTGTTGTGTAACAAGCAGCAGGATCAATTAGTTTAAACATTTCGAAAACATTTAATTAAAATTCGAGCGCAACGGCAACAAAAACTCGAACCGTAATATGCCAGGGCTGGAGCAAACCAATATTTCTGCAGCGTGTACCTATCGATATCGAATTGGTGGTGCTGTAAGGCGCGAAAACATTGATAAAACTAATATTAGTTCAATAATTCGAATTGATTTAATTAAATGACATTATTTTTTAAACAAGTAGCACATTAATTTATTTTTGTGGGATTGATCGAGAGATCTTACAGTTTTGTTTGTTCTTTTTTAATTGATACCAATAGTTTACTTAAACAACGTGAATTGTTTATGCAGATCTAGAATCGAATGTGGTGTTCGTCATAGCGCGGGCTATACAAAAGTTTACCATTTGTACGATTTGCAGTTTCGGGAAGGGGCTAAAGCCTGACGCGTCGCTTTGTCGTCTATATACACTAAGCTACACAGTCGTCTAATAAATTCTATGAAATCAGTTTCTTTTCCGCTGACAGCCTGCGTCCGTCGCTGGGTGGCTTCTTGGATGACACCGCCGCTGCCGGCGACTGCTTCTTGCCATACAGCATATCCACGAAGAGAGCCGCAAAGACCAGGACGGCGCCCAGCCATTGGCGGGCAATCAGGACGTTGCCGAAGAGCAGCACGGAGCACAGGACGGTGAAGAATTTGCGCGTCGTGGTGACCACAGAGCAGGCCAGCGGTCCGAAATTGGCCACCGTCAGGAAGATGAAAAACTGGCCCAGGGCTCCGCACAGCGAAATCAGCAAGAGGTGGGTCCAGACCTCGGGATGACGCAGCGCAAAGTGCAGCGATTCCTTGACCTCACCTAGAGAACAGAACAGAATTACTCCAAGTGAAAGTTTGGAAGCCACTTTAATTGACTGCTTACCCGTCAGAAGCATGGCGAAACCGAGCATCAGAGTGCTCCAGAAGTTCATGGCCATCATCATCTGCTGGCCAGAGGGCGAGCTGGCCGCCCGAATTCGCTCCTGCACGGCGCCCGTCAGCCCATCCATGGACAAGCTGAGGAAAAGCAGGACCTCACCGAGAATTGTCGTCTCTGCGGGCAGATTGGCGACCTTTCCTTCCTTGTACATGAACAGAATGACGCCCAGCACGATGGTCAGCACGCAGGCGTACCGCGTCCAGCTGTACGATTTGCGTCCTATGAGCACTCCCAGAATCATGACCGGTATCGGCTTGGCCGACTTGCCCACGACAGCCGTGGGATAGGGCACCCAGCGCATTGCCATGTTGGTGGAGACCATGGCCAGCAGATAGGTGAGCGAGCAGGCCGCATAGGAGCCGGTGTGGGTGGTGTCCTCCTTTTGCGGCTTCACGGTTAGCAACACTGCGAAAAGATGGTCTAGTCAGTAAACATGCTATGCATCTGGAGCAGAACTCAACTCACCTTTGGCAAAAACGTAGTTGCAGAGGCACTGCACCCAGACCAGGGCCAGTGCGAAGGTGAAGCGTTCGCCCACGGATCCATCTGTCTGCACTTGTTCGCCGTACCTCCCCCGCGTCAATTTTTCCTGCACAATACCATACAAAAAGTAGCAGACGAAGATGCCGATGGCGTAGATCAGGAAACGGCTGCGCTCGGGTACGTTCATTGTGTCAGCAGCTGTCAAATTTTGAATTTGAATCCTTAAGTAATTGTTTATCTGTGATGATCTGGCCTAAACAGTTGGCATTATTGGTTCAGGAGTAGGAGAGGGCGCGGGTGCTGTGATTTTTTGTTGTTGTTGATAGCGATTTTCATACGTGGTAAACAGTGTGACTGACCCTCTGAAATATACCATAATATACCCAAAAATTGATGCAATATACCGTAATATACCAAACAATTTATTAAATATATCGTAATATACCAAACAATTAATGAAATATACCGTAATATACCAAACAACTTATGAAATATACCGTAATATACCAAACAATTTATGAAATATACCATATAAAAACTAAATTTTGTTTATCTTGTTTTGTTTGTGCCACATAATCTTGTTTGTTTGTGTCACAACTCAACTCCACTCCCCACTCCGCCGAGTCGAGCTCCACATAAATGCAACAAAGCCCAGCCTTCGCGTTTAGGGAACTGGAGACCAGACCGACCTCGCCGCGCGCCATGTACATGCGTGACTGGCGCTCTGCTCTGCGTACGCCCACGTATCGTATCGGGAATCGAACAGTTCGCTTTAATTACCATTTTGCCCTGCTGGTTGTCTGTGTTGTGGCTCTGGTGCTGCTGTTCTACTTCGCCCGCCAGGGCTCCCGCTCTTCCTCGGACGGCTACTGGCTCCGGAAGAGCATCGTCGATGCCAAGAGCCTGGTCACGGAGGCGTACAACTCCACTTACCCACTGACTCCCCCATTGGGGCTGCGTGGCGGCGTTATCAACTACCGGATCGCCATGATAGCAGATCTAGATACCAGTTCGAAGATAGCGAAGGCCGACGGCAGCAGTACGTGGCGGAGCTACCTCAAGAAGGGCTACCTCACGTTCACCGTGTCGAAGCCCGAGATCCAAATAAGCTGGGATGACGGAGCGCCCACCGTGCTGGAGTCGGCCTTTGCGCTGAAGGGACGTGGCATGGAGCTGTCCGAGCTGGTGACCTTCAACGGGCGTCTGCTCAGCTTCGACGATCGTACTGGTCTCATATACGAAATAGTCAACGACAAGCCCATCCCCTGGGTGATATTGCTCGATGGAGACGGGCACAGCGCCAAGGGATTCAAGTCGGAGTGGGCCACGGTCAAGCAGCAGACGCTGTACGTGGGCTCCATGGGCAAGGAGTGGACGACGAGCATGGGCGACTTCGAGAACAACAATCCCATGTACGTGAAGGCCATCTCGACCAGCGGGGCGGTGCGCTCGCTCAACTGGGTGGACAACTACAAGCAGCTGCGGCAGCAGTCGCTGCAAATCTCCTGGCCCGGCTACATGATACACGAGAGTGGGGCGTGGTCGGACCTCAAGCAGCGCTGGTTCTTCTTGCCGCGTCGCTGCTCCAAGGAGAAGTAAGCAAATCCATGGAGAATCAACAATAGAGATGACTAATCGGTCTCTGGATCGCCCTTTCAGATACAACGAAACAAAGGACGAGCACATGGGCTGCAATGTCCTGTTGTCGGCCGACGAGAATTTCAACAGCATCGAGACGATTCGGCTCGACACGGAGAACATCGCGCCCACGCACGGCTTCTCCAGCTTCAAGTTCCTGCCCGGCACCGATGACAGCATCATCATTGCGATCAAGTCCGAGGAGCTGAACGGCAAGACCTCCACATTCATCACAGCCTTTGACGTGGCGTCGGGAAAGACCCTGCTGCCGGAAGCGCACATCGAAACGGATTACAAGTACGAGGGATTCGAGTTCATTTAGCTTCTGCTTGCAGCCCCCAGTAGAAGGTGCTCCCAGTTGTAATTGTATATATTGTATACCACGTATTAGTGTCTCGTCTCATACGGTAAGCTTTATATTTATAGTCGAAGTTGTAGATTAATTCAGAGATGCTCATCACTCGCCTCTTGTACCATAGCGCAAATCAAATTGTAGTTTATTTTTACCAAAATACAAAACGTACAAAGCCCGCGGCAAACCAAAACAATCCCCCATTCATTCGCATCTATAATGCGTCCCTGGGCTTTGTCTCCAGTCCCGCCACCAGCAAATCCGCACTGTCCACGCGTCCCTCGCTGGCTCGCACCTCCAGGCGATCGGCATTGTGATTGACGTTCCATAGGTCGGGCAGAAACTTGGGCTTCATGGTGTGCAGAAAATGCTCTCGCCACAGCCGCTCCAGCTCGATGAGGCCCCCGAATTCGTGGCGATACATCTGCACCACCTTCTCGCCATGCTGGCAGTAGTCTTCGTTCTCCATGCGATACTCCACGTCCGCGGCCTCCCTCAGCAGCTGCTCTGTAACCTCGGTGTGATCCTTGTAAAAGTCCAGAAGAGTTTGGCGCATCTCTTCCAACTTTTGCGCGGGTATGCGGTGGCCATTATAGAGCAGCGCTTTGGCAGCAGACTTGACCCGCCTGAAAGTCAGAGGAGAATAGAGATTATCTCGATTAGGGAAGCCTAGCTTGGGTGTGACAGGGGCAGGAGTCACCTTAGCTCTGGATCGATGTGATACTTGACGTTGCCTTCGCTGTGCTTGAACGGGGCATCGCACTTGGCGGCCAGCTTGCAGTGGACCCGCAGATCCGAGATGTTGCTCAGCTGGTGGCAGGGCGGGCACAGCAGCAGGACGTCGTGGGAGGTGTGTGTCTTCATGACCACGGGGAAGTGCTTCCGGTACTGATGCGGCACCACATTCTTGCGGATGAACGCCTCTCGATTGCCGCACACCACGCACTGATTTTCCTTGGGCGTCTGGTAGTAGCGTCCCACCTCTCCCACGGCCCTTCCCGCGGGCTCGAAGTTCAGCCGAACTGTGAACGGATCCTCGCTGACTTTGGTGCCCAGATTCTGTGCCAGGTACCAGGATGCCTTGCGGCGATCCATGGTGCAGAGGAGCTCCCCATCGGGAGCCTGCAGCAAGCAGTTGTCGTAGAAGACCTTCGACTGGGTGCCGAGGTGGCGGCACTGCTGCTTTTTGAACGTCAATTTCTTCTGCTTCTGGGAACCAGAACTGGCGGCACGACTCCCATCCGTCGACAGGTTGATGTTGAAGCCCCTGGCAAAATCCACGTCCAGGAAGGGTTCGATTTTGGGGCGAAAGCTGTGCTCGCTCAATGGCCGCCAATCCCAGAAGTTGCGTGGCTCCAGATCCCTGGACAACTTCTGGAAAATGGCCACGGCAGCCAGGGCATCGTTGGCCGCGTAGTTTATTTGGGTGGTCTCCAGCTGCTTGGCCTCCCAGTTGGAGCAGGCCAGCCGCCAGTTCTTGTCCAGCACAAAGTCTGCGTGCGTCTTGGCCAGCTTCCCCAGCCCCTCGGGCTTGTGTCCGGCCATGACGGCCAAAAAACGCAGGTCCAGCGTGCTGGCCACGCCTACTCCGTAATCGTGAGCCAACTTCTTGGCGTCGTCCTGCGGAGCTACACCCACCTTGATGACGGCCTCGTCTTCGAGCAGGTCACGCAGGTCCTTGGGTATCTGCTTCATCGTGCACAGCCGGAAGAGAGCACAGAGGCCTTTGTGGGAGCTGAGCTGAAGGAGCGCGACGGGTCTCCTGCTTCCCCCAACCGTGATCCATTCGCAGTCGAAGCCGACCACCTTGAAGCTCTGGCAGTGACTGGTAACGGATAATTCCTGATTTAATTAGCTTTCGTGTTGGATTCCCCCAGCCAGCGCATTACTTACGTTCGCAGCTCGTTAAGCACGACCTGGGCGGCCGGGTCATGGATAGAGTTGATGACTTCTATGCGCCTGTTGAACAGCGGACTCTCCGAGTGCCAGGTCCGCCGCAGCCTGGACAGCAGGGAGTGCTTGTGACGCACCAGCACATACACCAGACCCACTCCGGCAGCAAAAATGGCCAATTTTTTGGTTTTGTCAACGTTCATTGTTTTTGTTTTGGTGGAACAGCTGGAACAGCAGGAACAGTGTGACCGCCCAGCTGCAACTTTTTCAGGTCAGTATTTCAGCAATCGAGTACGGCAGCGCTTTTTTCTGGGCTGTATTTCTGCAATCGGGTACGGTGCGGCATCGCTATTTATCCCGTGCCACTAACCATACAGTATAGATCCTTACAACGAAGGGCGCGCTGGTTTGCAGCGTACGTTCCCAGATCTTTGGGAATCATCGCTATTGGGTCCATGCGCCGAGAACTTTTCTCTGTTTGCCCCATGGTTTCTTTTTCCCGCCGTCACCCCCCGCCCGCCCCGGCCCCCTATACTCAGTGCTATATTTTTTTTTTTTTCGTTTTGAAAAGCTGAGTTGCGAAGTGCCAAACTTCGACCAAGTTGGCAGCCCGGCCTGAAGAAAAACGTTGTGAAGAATTTTAAATGATAAATTTAATAATTTGAATAACGGATACTACCAAGTGAGACACGACAGGAAAAACCATGTGGAAGTGAAGTGCCCCAGCCAAGGCCTCAGCAGACGGAAGAGAATCCCTGCAGCCTCAGGCCCACCCCATTGTAATAAAAATCGATTTTTCACTTTTGTGAGGGTGGGAGGAAGACCGCAGGACCTCATATCTGAATATTTCAAACGATTGCAGGAGAAAGCGCAGAAATGACGGAGAACCTGGAGCTGCACCAGTTCCAGGAGGGCACTCACACGGTGGATGTGTCGAACCGCTGGCTGGAACGCCTGAAGACGCGTGTCAACTGTCCCTACTTGGGCATCATCCTGGCCACGCTGTCATCCCTGTTCTTCTCGCTGTGCTCGGTGATCGTCAAGGGACTGGTGGACGTCAATCCGATGGAGCTGGCAGCATTCCGCTTCGTGGGGGTGCTGTTGCCGACCATTCCGATCCTAATATACACCCGCCAGCCAGTGTTTCCAGAGGGGAAGCGCGTCATCCTGCTGATGCGCTGCTTCATGGGTACCACGGGCCTAATGCTCAGCTTCTACGCCTTCCGGCACATGCCGCTGGCCGATGCCAGCGTCATCATCTTCTCGACGCCCGTGTTCGTGGCAATCTTTGCGCGCGCCTTCCTTAAGGAGCCCTGCACCATGTTCAATGTGATCACCATCAACATAACGCTGGTCGGCGTCGTACTCATCACCCGGCCGCCCTTTGTGTTTGGCGACACGTCGCCTCCGCAGGATGGGACGCAGCTGACGGGCAGGCCATACGACATCTGGGGACCTGTCGCTGCCTTCTCGTCGACGCTGTTTGGGGCCAACGTCTATATCCTGCTGCGGGCGCTCAAGAATCTGCACTTCTCCGTGATCATGACCAACTTCGGAGCCACTGCCCTCGTGTACACGCTAATCGTGTCCGCCTCCATCGGAGCCGTCTGCTGGCCCAGCTGCGGCCGTGACCGCTGGCTGGTCGTCGTCCTCGGCGTCTTCAGCTTCCTCGGCCAAATCCTGCTTACCCTATCGCTGCAGATCGAGCAGGCAGGGCCAGTGGCAATCGCCCGGTGCGTCGACATAGTGTTCGCCTTCATCTGGCAGATTATCTTCTTTGGGGAGACGCCCAATGGATACTCGTTGTTTGGAGCCCTCATGGTGATCAGCTCGGTCATCCTCACAGCGCTAAAGAAGTGGGCCATGACGCTGCCGCGGGAGTCGTCGCTCCGCAAGCGGCTGCGACTCATCCTACTGGAATAGACAGTGTCGCCCAGTGTCGGCACGATACGCCGTGGTTTCTCCCGAGTAATCTATAGTCACATCGTTCACACGTTCATCGCGTAGTACTACTCAATCCAAATAGGAGGGAAGGGAGCTATCGGAATGGAAAGAAAAGCTCCCCGACCCCCCACCAGTTCATATGTACACCGTAGACTTGGCATATCCAATCTCCAAGGCTCAGCATAGCATAGTTTATTCGAATAGCCGTATCCCTAGGCAGTCAGTTTTCTGAGTAGGAGGAGGAGGAGGTGCTCGTGATACCCATACGTTTCCATATTGAAATACTCATAGTGTGTGTTTTAGTTTAGCCAATTCGCCGATTTGTTGTTTTGTACATTGTTATACATGCTTTAAATACAATAATAAATACAACTTATGAATTAATCGCAACTGTTTTAATGTTTCACTCTGCACTTTCAAATTTCAAACAATTCAAATTTTCGCCGTTGAGTTGAGCGTTTCGCTTAATGCTTTGGCCGTTTTTGTTTGAACCTTATGATGCCAACAATTCCATAAAAAAATAGCTCTGAAAACTAGCCAATCTTGTACAAAATTTATTGATGAATAGGATAAAATTATTTGTTTAGGGCTGAGAGGGCTAACTAGCTAGTAATATTAAACCGAATATCAAAATCGAGGAATATCAACGCAGCTGGTTGTGTCCGTCAGTATATTTCGGTATGGTATATTTCTGAGGGTCAGGCGGTATATTTTATCGGTAAATCCGCGGTCACACTGACCTTCCGGCAAAATCTACATAAAAACATAAACAAAACAAAAAAGACGCTGACCGCCCTAGAAGCCCAGATCCGCAATCACCGCGTCCAGCTCGTCCTGCAGATTGGTGGCCCGGTGGCGCACCTGCACAATTTGGTCCTGCAAATTGTCGACGTTTGCCTGCAGCAGCACGTTGCACTTCTTCATCGCCGCGAAGCGACTCTCGTGCTTCTTCACGCGCGGCTCCACGTTAGCCTTCTTCGCAGAGTTAGCCGCGTCCTACGGTGCAACAAAGGAAGGAAGGAAGGAAGAAAGCTGGGTGAGTGCACATAAAAGGATGCAAATGTTGGACCCACCTCTGGTTCGGACTCGCTGCCCGTCTCCGCCTCGCTCTCCCCCGACTCGGATTCCTCGGACTCATCATCGGACTCCTCCTCCTCCTCGCTCTCGTGCTCCTCCCCGGCCTCCTCCTCATCGTCCTTGTCCTCGCCATCGACATCGTCCTCGTCCAGCTTCATCGAGGCGGCCATCTTCTGAACCTCCTTCTCCAGCTTCTTGAACTTCTTGTTCTCTTCCCTGCGGACGCAGACAAGGGAGTCCCCTTTAGAGGCTGCAATCCAAATGGATAGCTAGCAGGTGGGGCAAAACTCACTTGAGAATCTCCTGGTTCTTTTTCATGGCCTGCTTGAGCACATCCTTCTCCTTCTTGGCCGCCTCCTCTTTGACCTTCACCTTCGTGAGCTTGCTGCGCAGCACCTTCAGCTCCTTGCCGACGCGCTTCTCCCTGCGCTCCGTCTTCTTCTCCTCGGGCTCGTCTGGGTCGCTTTCGCTCACCTCCAGATCCAGCTCCGGTGAGCTGTCGCGCCCGAAATTGGCATCGCTCGACCGCCTGGAGCCGTCCAGCATTCCGCCGCCCTGCAGGATCGCAGCACAAATCACAAATTTTGGGATTAGCAATCTCCTTCGCAGCTGGTGCGTGGCTTTACCTGGTGCGGCGCGTGCTTGCCGACGTAGTAATGGTCGTAGTAGTCGTCATCGTCGTCGTCGTCGTAAGCAAAGCAATTACTAATGTGCGGTCTGTTAGTGCTTGGTGTCGCACAGCCCTTGCAAGAGAGCGTTCAATGGGTTAATCAGGTTAGTGGCTTGGCTGCAATTTCTTGGCAAGGCGAGAAAGCGTTCGAGGAATTGGGGGCGGCGTGTCTGTGGGGTTGTAATGTGGAGTTTGTGTGCTTGTAGTTAAGTGTTTCAAAGTGTCGATCAGTATTGTACAGTGGCCAGACCATTCAGGGAATTGGGTATCCCCCCCCCCCACCATTGGAAAGCGACGCCCGAGCATGCATTTCCACATCTCTCCCTGTGTTTGCTCCCATCCCATTCCCTATAGCAGATATGTGTGTAAAGAGTGTTGTCAGCCGATCTGTTTTGTTTCATTTCGTTTCGTTTCCATGGCTACTACTATGGCGCTACTATGGACAACTATTTACAAACTACTAATCGCGGGGACTACTAATCGGGGCACTACTATTTGCGGTGGCTTCGTTAGCTTCTCTTTCCTCGTCTACTCTCTGCGCCGGAAACGCTGAAAATGTGCGGAGGAGAACCTGTGAGGAAGATGGCGGATGGACGGATGGGTGTTACGGACCCCGCCTCCCCCCTCAACTGACAACACTTCGAGCGACGCCCCATCATACCCAATCCGTGAACCCCCACTGACCTGGAGAGCCGCTGCTAGCTTCCTTTCGAGTAGCTGGATCTGTCGCCGCTGCTCCTCGATCTCCGTCTTGGCCTCCACCAGCTGCTCGCTGGTGCTCTGGTAGTTCTTCTCCACCTCCTTCGACACCTTGCGGGCATCCTCCACCTCGCTCTTCAGCGAATTCACGTACGTCTGTTCGGCGGTGGGCGTGGGATCCATGGTGGCCACGATCACATTGGACCCGTACTCGAGGTTCTTCTCGCGCGACTTCTCCCGCTCCAGCTCCGTCTCCAGAGTGCGAATCTTCGCCAGCAGCTTCTTGTTCTCGCGCTCCTGGGCCTCCCGGTTGCGCAGCTCGAGGGCCAGCATCTGCTTGGTGCTCTGCAGGTCGTCGCGAATCTTGTCGATGTCGTCCAGCTCGTCGGGGCTCTCCTCATCGATGGACATGGCCGAGCCGATGCTGGGCCGCGATCTGCCCGCCCCCAGGGCGCTGGCAATGCTCGGTCCGAGGGCGTGGCTGCTGGGTGCCTCGCAGAGCATGTTGACCTTCGACTGGGACTTTTGCAGCTGCTCCTCGATGGTCATCTGGCGGCGGAACTTGCGCAGGCCATCCAGCACGGGCTTGCTGCGATCGTTGGTCCGCGTGGGCTTAAGCTTGATGCCGCCCTGGATCTGTTGGAGCAGCTTGTTGTGCGAGTTGTCCTTCTCCGTCTCGTAGATGAACTTTTCGTCCACTTTGGTTATCGACTTGCATGTCAGTATGGGCTGAGATCTGCGTAGGGAGGAGCATGGATGTTAGCAGTCTCTTGAGGATTCCACTCCAGCTCTCTCTTTAATCACTTACCTATCGTTGCACGCCACATGGCGCAGCTTCCTGCCGCTCTCCACCTCCTTCATCATCTCGGACCAGTCCGGGCGCCTTCTGGGCCGTGTTCTGTGAACCGAAAAACAGGAAAACCATGAGAGATGGTCATCCTTCATCCCCGACACCCCGACTCCCGACTTCAGACTTACTTCAGCTTCTCAATGTTCGCCTTTTGCGTGCTGGAGAGCACACGCTTCTCGCCGATGGCCAGTGGCGGGGGCGGTGGTGGCGGAGCCTTGGGCACCAGAGAGGGCAGTGGCGGTGGGGCTGGAACTGCAATAAACAGAGAAAGGCGCACAGAGCGTGGGGTAGAGTTAGCCTTACCGGGCAGCACACCGAATGGAATAGAATGTAAAGGAATGGGTGGGCATGGGGGCCATGGCAAGTGGAATGTGGCATGTGGCATGTGGCATGGAATGGCTGGATGTTGTTTCGGTATTGTGGGGCACTAGAGCAAATCGACGCCTGGCGCTCGCTGCGTGCGCTCGCGGTTATTAAATATAATTTTAATTTAATGAGTTTGCAATTTGTGTCAGTTGTTTGTTTGTTTGTTTGTTTTGTCTGTTTGGATCCTATCCTCCTTTCCTTTCCATTCCCTTCCCACCCCTCCCTTCCATGTGGATGTTTGTTCAAAGTTTCCGGCACGGGGCCATACATATCAATTGGCGTAGGAGAGTGGCTCACTCACCCAGACACACGGCATGGCTCTGTGTCCCTGTACCTCTCTCTCTCTCTCTGTGTCTATCTCTGTCGGAAGTTGCAGCAGAGATTGAAAAGTTAGTAGGGCCTCAGTGCCGCTGTCCCTGCTGCTGCCTGTGCCTGGCTTTGATGGTGTTTTATTGCTTTAACACCATTCAATTCGTCCGAAAGGATGGGGGGTGGAGTCAGCAGGAGGTAGCAAAACTTTGATTGCATTTTTTACTTTGTCCGGACTTTTCCTTGGTCGAATCCTTTGCCCTCCTCCGTAGGGCACCCTCCGCACCCCATCGCTGCTCTCTTTTCGGTTTTAGTTAGTTTAAAATCCTACGCTTCTTCGTTTCGTTTACTTCTTCGTGTGCTGTGGAGCCTGAATCTGGGGGTATGTTGCAGTCCTGTTAACGAGGCCAATTAGTCTGGACAGCAGCAGGAGGAGTACACCTCCGGCAAGCTGTTTCTAATAAATTTCCGCTTAAATTGTTGGCCTAACAATCTCCCATACTCTCTCTCTCTCTCTTATTGGAGGTCGACACTACCTCTGCCTGGCTTTTCCTTTTACCTCTCCCTCTGGCCTCGTAATTAACAATTGAAAAACTTTTTCCAGTTTCGATTTTTTCCAGAGCTCTCTTCAGCTCTCTACATAACCTAACTCTGCTCCTCTCTCTCCCTTTCTGTCTCTCTCTCTCTCTATCTAGCTCTCTCTGTCTAACACACTCACACGCATTGTGTTTTTTTGTTGTTGTTTTGTGTGTGTGTGTGTGTTTATCGAATACTTTGCATTCTTTATGTTCTGCTGCTGTCTGTTTGTCTCGCTTACACTTCCACTCCCACTCTTCCCCCAGCCTGCTCCCGCTGTTGTTGTTTTGTTGACTGTTTAAAAAAAAAAAAGTGCAAAAGTCAAACAACAGAGGGCACCCTCTGGGAGAGAGAGCCGGAGAGAGAGAGCAGAGAAGCCGTCGCCGCCAAGTGATGAAAAGCTGACAAATCTGTTAATTAGCTTTGTTTGAATGAACCCTCCGCCACCGCCTACATTCTGGATGGGCGAGGGAGGGCGTCAAGGCCGCCACCCACTGAGGCACCCAGCCACCGCATTATCCTTTGTCTGAGCTTCCACCATCGTTGCCGCTTTGCGTTGTAGCTCCTTCCCTCGCCATTTTCTCGGTTTTGGCTTTGCCTTTGGTTTGCGCCTCGCTGGCTCTGCACTTAATCTTTAAGTGGTTCGCTGCCTTTTGCCACGGCGGTGCATTAGTTGCTCAGTGTCTGGCCACGTACCAATGTACCCATCAGACTCCTTTCAGACTCCACTTCATGCTGCTGCTCCCCCTGCTACCCAGCCTTTTGTCCTGCACCTGGCGGAGGCAGCAAGAAACTAATCCAAACTCGTGTTACTTTCGTTGAATGAAATCAGTGTAAAAGAGAAACTTGATTATTGTCTAGGAGGGGATGCTGCCACCTCCTTTCTGCTCCCCCTGGCGTGTCTGCATGTTAATGAACTCCTCCGGTGGCACAACTGCTCCCTAAATGGTTGCTCTGATTAAAATACGTGGTCAACTTTTGGACAGCCAATTGAGGACGCGTTTAGTTTGGTAATTTATGGACCATACCATGCTCTCGCTCTCTCACTCTCATGCTCCCCCTCTCAATCTCACTCTGTCTGTCGCTCTATCTTTGGGGGAGGCCTCCCTGTGTCCCTGCCACAACGGTGGCAGGCAGCAGTTATCCTAAATCAGAGGCAAACAAAAGTGGAAGCAAAACGAAACGAAACGAAACGAAAGAACGAAAACAAAAGCAGCTCTCATTCTTTTTCCGAGTGGGGGCTTCTGGGTTTGGGCTTGGGCTCCCCTCCAAAATGGAAGAGGAAGGGTGACCCAAGCAGATAAAAGTCTTCATTCATTCATGTCGACAAAATTATTTCTTATTTAAATAAAAAGCAACGGGAGTGTGGTGTGGGGTGGGGTACTGGGACTCTGAGACGATGCTACCCACTTAATATACCGCAAAGCCCGCACTTACGGCACAGCCCTTCCTTCCATCACAATGAATGGCGGTGGTATGTAAACATAAATTTTGCCAGCTCACTCTCAGGGATGCCCCCCTGGAACTCCTGCCTTCTGCAACCATTGTGTTATCATCATCAGAATATTCTATGCATGCACAAATGTTGCCGTTGTCATTGAATCACGCTGGGAACAGGGTCTGTGGAAGGGGGATTGGCACTGGCACAGGCACTGGCACAGCCACTGGTACTCCACTCCTCTGTATGCTCAACCAGAAGATGAAACTGTGAATGGGGTACCCCAACAGAGGCAGAGGCAGATCCAGAGACAGAGGGGTGACTCCGATGAGTGACTTTCCAGCTTGCAGCTTCACTTCATTGTCTCCACTGCGGCACGATGATGGAGCACCGCTCAGCCAGTCCATATATCTCACAAAAAGAGAGAGAGAGAGATTGAGGGAGAGCTGTGGCCCCCTCTTTGGCCTCGTATGATTAGCGTGTTAGATAGAGCCATCGCTTTAAAGGCTACACTAAGCACTGAGGGGTGTAAAACCAGAATGGTTATAACCCTCAGAGAGTGAGAGACAGAAGTCTACTTTGTTGTGGTTCCGCACTTAAAAAAAGTTTCCAAATATTTCAGTGCGTGCTCCCCAAATGAAAGAATTTACTGCTGTTTAACTTTTTCAGCCAACTTGGAGTTTTTGATGTCACTTTATGTACAAGGAAAGAGGAGTCCTTTCAGGGACACTCCTTCCAGTATAGCCCCCAAATGGAACCTTTTTTCACACCTTAAGCCCTTCTCTGAGACACACCTCTAAGGCTTCAAGCCTCTAGTTTTAATTAGAGCCTTCGTTCTCCTTCTTAGAGGAGAGAGGAGGCTTTCACGGGTTCTGTTTCAATTTTCAATTTTCAATTTGCCATTTGTATCTAATTTCTAATCCCATTATTCATTCGACCATTTCATTGTCGCCCAGTGTAATTATGGCCAACAGCTAAAGGCCAATCCATATATATGTACAAAAACTCGTACTCGTATATATACGATACAATAGATGAGGGGCTGTGTGTGTGTGTGTGTTTATTTGTGCTTTGAACGGTTTCCTTTTACGTCATTTTGACCATTCGAAAGAGCCTAATCATCTTTTATGCATCGTTGGAAGAAGGGACGCACACAGATGGAGAGGGGGAGAAAATGGAGCCTCACCTATTGAAAGTCGACATTTCTAATGACAGCAGCAGACCCCAGAGCAGAGACCCCACCCATAAATGGAGCAGGAACAGGGATGGATGGAAGGACACGAAAGACTGCTCCAAAATGGAGCACCGCCCTCACAGGCTTCGAGGCTCTCGCATCGCATCGCCTCTACACACGCATACATACAGATGAGGTTCATTTAAATAAAAGAAAATATTTGTTGTCCTTTTTGTTTTGTTTTGGAAGAAGGACTCCACTTTACTCTACCCCCACCCCTCGGTGGATGGTGGATGGTGGATGGACAGCAGGATGGATAGAAGGGGGACCCTGCTTTTGCGGCCACCGCCGTCTTTTATTTCGTTTTGTTTTTTAGTGGCGGATATTTGAATATAAATGGGGCATTTAGTTAGACTCTATCAAGCACATTGCCATATATCTTTGGCAGCTTTCCTTTGGCCCGCTCCGCTCCGCTCCCCTCCCTCCCCTGCCCCTGTATCGGAGACACAGTTCCAATGCCGACTCCGACGTCCGATAGTTGTGGGAGGTCCTTGAAGCAGAAAGGAAAGACTCAAGCTCCCCCTCCTCTCCCACCCCCCTGTAGCATTCCTCATCTGGCTTTAGAGCATTCCATTTTATGTTGTAGTTTTGACAGAATGAGCAATAATCATGAATTTTGCTTAGGCCATAAAAAAGAAACTCCACTCAAACTCCATCCTCGATCCAGGACCCGTTTCGGCTAGGACCTCATCCGAACACATTAAATAAATGTTTTGCCTTCATTTTTCCTTTTTTTTTTGTTTTCGGCCTTGCCTTTTTTTTCTATGGGCGATGGGGTGACAGCTTTAAAGGACAAGCCGGTGCTTCATTTTGGCGACCCAGAAGCAGAAGCAGAACCAGGACCCTCCTCCTCCTGAAGCTGATGCTGCTGCTGCTGCTGCTGCTCCTTCTGCTGGATCCCTTTGTTTGTCGGTCAAGATTAGGACGCATTTGCGGTCACGTTATTGCCCACTGATTAGGACAGGGGACAAAGAAAAGTTAACTGCCTCACACGTAACCTTTCCCCAAGACCCTGTCCCACGCTTAAGGCTAACGAGCTTTTCACTTCATTTTAGTTGCCATTCTCCCCCCCGAGGGACACCTTGGGCCATGGCAAGGCATGGCAAGGCATGGCAAGACATGGCCTGTCCTGGGCCTGGAGACGACTCTGTGCAATTCAATTTCAATTTTTGAGGCCAGGTGACAGCATACTTATGCAACGGCCAAATGTCTTTGTCTTTTCTGTCGCCGGATCTGATGCTCTCTGCCTGTTTTTTCAGGCCAGCCTCGCGGCCAGAAAGTCCATTAGAAAATTACGACCTTCTCAGTGCCTGATTCGTGGCGGAGACGAGTGTGTGGCAATAAATACGGAATTAGAAAATGAAAATACCTTTACTTTGTTTGCACTTCCAGAGGGATGGTTGGAAGGATTGGTGGGTGAATGGATTGGATCCTCCCTCCCCGAAAAATGAACATGAACCCCAACAGAAATATAAACTCGACCAAAACTGCAGGGAAAAACACTTTGCGCCTCTTTCGGCTCAATGCACAACACTCACTAAAATTTAATAAATAAAAAATGATATTTATATTGCTTTATGGCCTTGTTTTTCCAACTGTCCCTCTCATGCTCCTACACACCCCTCACCCGGCCCTGCCCCTGCCCCAGCCTCTGGCTTTCTGCCGCTCTGCCACTGCTCTATGCGCTTTGTGGTTTTTGTTTGGCCGAAACATTTTGATGAAATATTTTTTACACACTCATTTCGAGTTGATATATATTCCTCCTGTGCAAATACGTACGATATATGACTGTACTGTCTGTGCTCTGTACTCTGTACTGTGCTGCTGCTGCTGCTGCATATCCGTATAGACAGACACGTCGTATACGTATTTTTTTGTATATGTATTTTCTGGTGTATAAATGAGCAATCACAGTGCATGTTGCTAGGGAGGGGGTGAGGGGCAGGTACTAGGGAACTAGAGATGTGCACCCTTTACCCTAGAGAACGATAACTCCTTAGCAGCGATATGTACAATGTTCCAGCTGAAGGAGTGTGTGGATATACCCCATTGGGAGGACCCCTGCTTATATGTATATTTTGCAATGATTCTCTAAGTGAAAAGCCACAAAGCTGATCCTACACTTCCACTGTGCCTTCTCTTATCTTTAGCTTCTCTCACGCAGTCATCCCTGTACGTATTTACTCACGCTACCATATCGAATGAGCAATTCTCTTGCACATATCACTCATACGCCATGTTGACGCTTTATTTGCCTTGTTGTTGTCGCTGTGACGGTTATTGGCCTTGCCTTTTGCCAGATATAAAAGATACAAAGAGATACGCAAAAGAAAGCTCATTTTACCCTGAATTTCCCCTCTCAAATACCCACCCTTCAATCGCCCACAATCATCACCTGGTTAGAAATTAACGATTAGAAAAGCTTCAGCAATAATTTACAGCGGTTTGTAGTCGATCCATTCGCAGTGGTTATTTGGTTAATCTTCCATTTGGCATTTAGGCATCGGGTTAGACGACCACCTTCCAGGTCTCTCCGTCTCAGGATCGGATCTGTGGCACTTACCATTCTTGATGCTCTGCTCGCGCTTTATGGACGGGGCTTTCCGCAGGGTCTTGGTCTTGAACTCGGGCTTGGGCTCCTCCTTGGGCTCCTTGAGGAGCTCATCGATCTTGGGTACCTTCTTGAGCACTGGCCGGATCTTGGCCAGGTCGTCGGTGCTCTTGCTGGGCAGCGGTTTCTCCTCGCGCTTCACATGCCGCAGCTTGGGCTTTTCGAGCTTGAAGCGCAGACGGCGCTCGCGCTCCTCCTCCGTCTCCCCCTCCTCTGCCTCCTCGTCCTCTGCCTGGGCGGGCACCTTCTTCATCGACTTGTCTCGCTTGACCACCGCTACGCTCCTCAACTTGGGTTTCTCTAGGGTGAAACGCTGTTTCAACTCACTTTCCGGCTCCGGCTTCTTGTTGACGGTCGTCGGACGCAGCTGGGCGGCCTTCTTCACGTGCTCGGGCACCTTCTCGTCCACCGTTGTGTCGTCATCGTCGTCATCGTCCTCTTCCTCGGATGCGGTCTCCTCCTCGGTCTCCTCTTCCTCGGATTCGGTCTCCTCTTCAGTCTCCTCCTCCTCCTCCTCGCTCTCCTCTTCCTCCGAAGAGGATTCGGGCGGTGGCGTTGGTTCCTTCTTCTTCGTTGCCACTGGCTTCTTGGTCACCGCAGTGGGAGCCACCTTCTTGACTGGCTCCGGGGCCTTCTTGCTGTTCACGGGCTCCGCATTCGAATTTTTTTTGCCTGCTGCTGCTGCTGTCGTCGTTGCTGAGGATTTCTTGACGGGCTCAGGCGCTTTTTTAGCCGTCTCCGCGGGGGTTGTCTTCTTCGCGGTCGTCACGGCTGGAGCTGCCTTGGCCTTGCTGTTGGCTGCTGCTGTCGTTGTGGCCGCAGCTGGAACGGATTTGTCTCCATTCTCCTTGGCGGCAGCGGCTGCCGCTGCCTTCTTAGCCCAGGGCGTGGTCGTGGGCTTTGTGGCTGTGGCACTGGATGCTGAGGCGGCGTCCTCCTTCACCCACGGCGGGCGGAATGTGGTGCGTCCCGCACTGTTGTTTGCACTGCTCGTCCCCGTTCGGGGTGTCACAAACGGCATTGCTACTGCTTCTGCTGCTTCTGCTGCTTCCTTTTACGGTTGTTTTTTCTGCCGCTCTGCTCGCTCTACCGTTAATTCTCCAGAGAGGGCTGCGCACTTGCCGTCCCGTTCGTCGTCTCCGTCTGTTCGCACACACTTTTTAAATAATGTTCCGTAAATTCTTGCGTCGTTTTTCCTGCTGATGAAAACACAAAACTTTGCACATTAGCACCGCCGTCGAGGGAGAGTCGCGACGACTTGTCCAAAAAGTTCTTTCATTCAGATTCAGATTTTCGTTGTATTTTTTTTTTTGGTTCGGCTCGTTGGTTTGTTCGTTCTTGCGCGGATTTCTATTTCTCTTTTGATAATTCTTTTTTTTTTTTGTTAATTTTTTTAGTGTTGTTTTCTGTTAGATTTTGTTCGCCGTGATATTTATTCGCGGTCCGGTGCCGACGATGGGCAACAGCTGTTTGGGATATTTTCAGTCCAATTCGAATTCGTTGTATATTTGGGAATGTTTCATTTTAATGTTATTTTTAAATGAATGCGCTCATTAGCTTTTTCTTGCTTTTGCTTTTGTTGCCATTGCTGCTGGCTGGCTGTTGTTGTTGTTGCCGAGAGACAAAATGTAGGCCTTTGTGTCATAGTCATAGTCATGGACGGGGGAACGAGTACACACACAGGGACACGGACTCAGTGGCATGGTCGGGGACACGGACAGGGACAGGGACAGCGACACAATTGCATCAACGCATGTGTGGAATGGAATGCTTTGGTGCGCACACACAGTAAAGCCTCTCCTGGCGGAAAGGCATACCCACAGCGACAGTGTGGACACCATGGAGAGGGCCTTGCCTGAGTGTCACACTGCTTAGCGAACTGCTTAGTGCACTGCACAGTGAAGGCTCAACTAAAAAGACATCTGCCATCACGCTTTCGCGTAACTGTGTCCGTGCCTGGTCATGCTAGAGAATGTGAAGGGACGGCTATGCAACGAGTCTGGACAATTCTGGAGTGAACCTTTACTGTTTGTCCACTCATCTGCTCACTGCTCACAGTGGACACTCTCCTGGCGGTACTGTTCTGTCTGTAATGTTAGAGTGGCTGTTCCCCAGGCAGAGCCTTCACTGTAGGTGCGTCCAGTCGACTGCCTAGATATGCTCTTTCCGTGTGGTGTGTGAATGCACATACACATATGCACTCCAATAAACAGCAACAGCAGCAACAGCAAAAACAGCAACAACAGCAACAGCAAGTGAAACGTGAATAGCAACAAAAACAAACGATTTGCTCTGCCACTGCCTCCTCTGCGATATGTAAACGGCGAAAATATTTAATTTTAGGTTCTTTGTGCCAGCCAGCCAGCGCCAAAGAAAGCAAAAAAAAAAAGCAGAAAGAGAGACGCGCCCAGAGAGGATTGCTCTCAGAGAGAGAGAGAGAGAGCGAAAGAGAGGGAGCGTGCTATAACGGCACCAAATCGAAAAGAATAAAAGGAAACACACATCTCTGGCGCTTTCTTTTTGTTTTTTTTTTATTGTATGTCTACAAAAAAGAGAGGAGAGTGTGTGCGTGAGGGAGGGGAAGGAAGGGGAAGAATGAAATCCGAATTTGTTTCATTCCATTGCCATTTCCATGGCTGTTCGCTGGATTGCGTCCCTCCCCTTCTCCTCCTTCTCCTTCTCCGTATTCATTTCAATTCCTCCACTTTTTTTTTTTGGCGATTGCAAATTTTTTGGCCCCTATCTGGTTCGTTCCCTTCATTCCTCTCCCTCTCAATGGAGGCGTTAATTAAACATGACATGCAAATAAAAATTATACTTAGGAATATTCCATCATCATCATCGCAGAGGCAAAAGAGAGGGAGCGAGAGGAGTGCGAACGGAGGGCTGTTTTTTGGTCAGAAAAACCGAATTTTCAATTAACATTGTTAACTGGGGGAAAATTGTAGTGGCAGCAGTAGGAAGAGGGAAGACGGAAGGGGGGAGCCGTCGTTCTTGTCAACAAATAGTTTAAAAATACACCGCTCGATGGGCCATGTATGTGCGAGTATATATTTATTTTGGGAACACCATTCATGATTCCACTGTCCAGAGATTTATGGGATCAATTCGGAGGCCATCGACGGCGGAGGCAGTGACACTTTTGCGAGCGATAGAAAGTTCTGCGCATTTGCAACCCCCATATATATACACCGATTTGTGGCTATATTTTTGGATATATGTATGTACATATGTATATACATATAATTCGATATATGTATTTTCGATATGTATTAATTGGCTCGTTCGCCCGATGTTGATGCAGTTTTCGTTGTATATAGTATAAAAGCGGTTTTGATGGGTCAAACGAACACCCACACAGCCACAACCGCAAATTAAACGTACACACACGCACACACACGTATCACACACATACACATAAACACTGTAACGAAGTGGTTTCTTTTGGCCCGAAACGCAGAGGAGGCAACAGCAGCGCCTATGACGGCGTTTCAAAAACTAAATTCATATATTTTCCAAGCAGGCCGAAAATGCCTGAAAAATTAAAAAATTTCACAGATTCCTCTCAGCTGCTTGCTGGCACTCTTTCTATGCCTCTCTCTCTGGCTCTGTTGTTCTGTGAAAAGCATAATGAAATGAAAATTTTGTTGACCGACAGAGGAAGAATATTTTTAGCATCGTTTTTCATTTGGAGAGCGAAAGAGTGATGAGAGAGAGAGAGAGAGAGTGGGATCCAGTTGACCTTATAGCAGGTGCACCGCCTACAAAGCCACGCCGCAGCTGCCCCTCGGTTCAATGGAATCCGCATGGAATTATTAATAACCCGATATCTGTGGCCCACCTCAAGGATAGCCACCCTCGTCCCTCGTCCTACTCCCACTCACGCCTCTTATCAGACTCTGAAGTTACGCAAGTCCCTCTGTGTCGCGTGGGTGTCTCAGCTAATTTCGTGGGGGGCGGGAGATTTGGGAAAGGGCAGTGGAGGTGCGGGGCCGTCTTACCCTGTGATAGAAACCACTCGTCTAGAAAATCCAAACCCATTAGTAATTCTGTTTCGGTTCTGTTCCCTGGATGCGTGCGATGCGATGCTGATGGATCTGCGATGATTCTCCCTGATTTGCTTGCAATATTTACATTGTCTTCGTGATGTGTGGCTGTGGGGGCTGCTCGAATCACAATCACATCGGAAACTCGGAAACGGTTGACATTTATGCAGGGAGCCGTGCAATCGTCGGCGGGTGCGTGGTTGTATTTATAGTCCCATTGATCGCATATCGATTGGACTAGGGCTAGGCGAGTCTGTTGCAGATTCACCTTCCACACGTATGCATTCGTTATCTATCGATTCGCATTAAATTTGGCACAGATTTGGCACAGATAGCAAACAGTTGAGAGTCGAGATCCCCTTCATTGAATTCGCCTTCCATGATATCTACATGGGATGTACACAAGTTCATATCTGCATGTGTCTGTTTGTGGAACGTTCATATCTGCATGTGTCTGTTTGTGGAACTAACCGTACTGAAAGTTGGCGCCAATTTTAAGTATTTCATTCGCCACTGTGTATGCAGTGAGTATATTTATTTTGCCACCGTCGAAAAGTATGCACCATTTATGCTCATCGGCTGACACGAGGCGGTGCGGGGCAGTTTTAAAGCCAACAGGAAATAAAAAGCAACGATTTAGAGGCGATTTGTGCTTTTGAAATTTGAATATGTGACTTCCCCACGGGCCTTTAATAATTAATTGAATTGTTTTGTACCCTCGTTTCGATGGCAGAAGCTTGCGTGTGGAAATATAGTCCCCGTTTTTGTCCCCCCCCAATTTCAAAGCGGGCAATCATGGACGACGACCCTCGGGGTCGACGACTATTTCATCGCCTCGTCCATCGCCGTCGTCCCGGCAAAAACTTGTCCCATCCAAATCGAATTTGACACAAATTAATTGCCATTCGATTTGACAGATGGTGGGGACGGGGATGGGGCGTGGCGTGGCGTGGCATGGCGAGGGTTTCGCTTAAGTGTTATCATCTAGAAATTGCTTTATTTGTGAAATGTTCGCAGAGAGACATCTAATGAATACTGAATGAACTCCTTGGCATTGAGCGGGGGAGCCGAGAGCTCGTGTGGCTTTGTATGGTATTGGGGATTAGGATTAGGTATGAGCTAAACTAGACCCTGGGGACCACAGGCAGTGGCTTGGGTTGGGGCTGTGGCTGTGACTGTGACTGTGGTTGTGGCTGGACCTGTGCTGGCTGCTCCGTCGTTGTGTTGAAACGGATCGAATTGTTGAAGTGCGGCCACGTGGAGATCTCCTGGAAGAGTCTACCGCCGGGACACTCTGTGTCGCGCACCTGCTTGTGGCCCAGCAGCTTGTAGGCGGGATCAATGTATCCCTTGAACACGCCAAAAGCGATCAGGCTCTTGGCAGCATCCAGCATCTGCTTGGGCGGCAATTCAGCTGTAGAATGGAAGAGCAGTCCGTTAGAAATCTACAGATAATTCGGCCTACGACCCTAATCTTACTTCTCCAATCTCCGATGAGGACAATGCCCACACTCTTGTCATTGTATTTGGGGGCATGAGCTCCGATCACGTTGAAGCCGCGACCGGTGTAGATCATGCCATCGCCTCCGATGCCGAAGCTATAGCCGATGTCGTTCCATCCCCGCTCCAGCTGATGGAAGTCCTGCATGTCGCGCATGCTCTTCATGCAGTCCGCTGTGCTGAAGCAGGCGGCGGGCATGTACGAGTGATGGATGATGACGTACGGAGCGGGTCCCTCGAAGTGTTCCACGGATTTTGGCAGGCGGGCGCCCCAGTCTGCTCGGGCGAGCAGTCGTGCTCCGCCCTCCACACCAAGGCTGCTGGGTTGTGGCTGCTGCATGTGCTGCGTGTAGCCTGGAAGCAGACAGAGAGAGAGAGAGAGAGAAGGAGATGACCTTGGGTTAATGAGGTTTTGCTTGTCTTAAACACACAGAACAACGCCCGCAGACTTCTACCCCGCGACACGCTCCAATAGAGAGACAGAGGCTTCTGTTTGCGTTGAAATCTCGCACCAAACTCTGTCCGCCGTAATTGCAAAGGAAAGTGGTGGGGCGGAGGTGCCAGCTTCTAGGTGCTGGGTGTGGGTGTGGTCTGCGGTGCTGCGGTGCTGCTGTGCTGCTACCGTGCATCGCTCACATTCCATTGATAAATGATAGCCGATGTGTGGGTTGCTGTTGCTCCCCCACACGCGTTGTCTGCTGCGGTGTCTGCGGTTCCAGTGAGAGGCGCGAACATGCACTGACACGCTGGCTTCCCAATTCCCCCGAACGCCAGCCACAAAGTTCCCCGTTAGCCATCGCGAGAGAGAGAGGTGGGCATAGAAGAGAGCAAAACAAGTTGCGAGTCAACTACGATTGGCAATCGCAATCGTCATCAGCCGAAGACCGAAGATCAGCCGGCACTCAGTCTCTGTCGCAGCGCAGCCACCGTGTATTGAATATGCTAACGATTGACGTTTCTTCGGTTGACTTTCATAGCAGTGTGCAGGGGGATATGTAAGTTTTGGCAGGCGTTGCGATTTATCTTAATTATAATAGTGAAATGTTCTTCCAGATGTCAGGAAATGTAATGCATGCATTGCATTAATGAATGCATTGCAATCCCCGAAGCCCTATAGCAAACTCTAAGCGATCAAACATTCTTCTACTCCCCAGCTCTAGGGTATTCACACTTCTTCATGCTGAACCGAAATATTTAATATGCTAAACTGTGGTTTGTTAGGTTTGTTGGATTTGTATGTCTTTTCAGGTAGGGCATGTCAAGGTTATATCTGTTCAGACAAACGATTTTCTCTTGTTTAGTAATCTCTCATTTATTGCTGAGCGGGGAATGAAGAAATCGGGATCTCTCCTCAGTTCATTATATTCAAACTTTATCCTCTTTTAGGGTATTCCAAATTCGGCTCTACTGTTGCATCGGCATCAGCATGATTCAGCTTAAAGCGTCGAAAAGCTTTGAAATTATTAAACGACCGACCATCAGCCAAAGGGGAAGTGGTGAAGAGGGGGGAAGACCAATAGCAACAGGTGCTAGCCATCTATCAATGGCTTTTGCGGGGACCCCGCAGAAAGAAGTTCCGTTCCGCTCGCATTCGTTTCGACTTAGCCGTAGCCGTAGCCGCTTCCCCTCCGTGAGTCATAAATGCAAATGTTGACTCGAATCCAAAACTATTTCATTCAAAATTTGTTGTATGTGCGTGGGGGAGCTGGCAAACACAGGGGAGGGGGAAGGTTCTCCTCTTGCATGTTTGCCAACGTCTGCCAAAACTTCGGGATACATTCACGCCCCCCTCCCGCCACTCGCCTCTCGCATTTATATGCATACGGAAAACTTAGACGGAAAAGCGGTGAAGGAGGAGGGAGGAAGAACGGGGGGCGTGGAGCACAGGGAGCACTTGACTAACTTAATAGCGGCAGTTTCTAATTAAAATTTAGAGAGAGCGAAAGCTCTGGCACCTATCCTATCGTGTCCGGGACTCCTCCATTGGCGGCGCGTGCTTGAATAATAAACAGAGCAGGAAGGAAGGAGCCGCCAGGAATGCGGAGGAGCAGGAGGAAGGGACACGAAGGTGTGAGAGGTGTGTGTTTGGGGTAGTGGGAATGGGGGAACTGCCAAATCGTTGGCTGTTAAATTTATACAATTTACTTTTTAGTGTGTGTGTGTGTGTAACATGTTAATTACATTTATATTTACAGCAAAGCCCCGGCAAGAGTTGCTCCACGATCCCCCGCTCCGCTTCCTAATTGTTACCCTAATTACGCCGGCCTAATAAAGTAAACATTAAAACTCGCGTTGGCCTAATCAATGTTGCAAACTTTGTGGCACTCTCACACTCGCTATCTATCAATCTTCCTCTCACCCCCTGACACATGCCACACGCCCCACACACACTCACTCACTCACTCCATCCCTTTTACACACTACGAATATTAAACGTTACTATCGCGTACACACGCGAAATGTGTCGAAGGGAAGGGGTGGGCATGGCAAACTAAAGCCTTGCTTTAGTGTTCGGGGGGGAAGCACACACTCATTTCATTACAGAAAGCAATTTCGAGGCGAAGGCGCAAAGTTCTTTGATAATTTTCGATTAATCCGTGGGGCCGGGCCGTGTTATCAGAACCCCCACAAGTTCGTTCCCGTCTTTTCGCTGTCGTTTCCTTTTCGCTTCTGATTAAATTGTCGCATAATTGAGGTATTTAAATTACCAGCAAATAATTAGTGTGACAGAGACACAGAGAGAAAGAGAGAGAGGGAGAGCAAAAGCAGAGTGGCAGAAAAGAGGGAGTCGCGAGTCCCTTGGGTAATTGTTTGTTTTTAATCAGGCAAAGCACATAATAGAGACATTTCAATATTATTATTATTATTATTATGTTGACGATGCTCTGCAGAGTTTGGAGGAGTCCGTCATTCCATCCAACGCTCATTAAACAAATAACCGCACACCGTACACCGTACACGAGAATACATTGTACCGTACATACCGTACCGTATGAGGAGCGCGGAGGGATGGAGGAATGTGCGAAATTAAGTCACGCTCGATTACAACAAAAACAAAAGCAGAAGTCAACGGGAGGGTAAAAAAAGAATCGAGTGCAAGCAACGGCAAAAAACACAATGAAAGCGGCAGAAAAAGAGCGAAATAAAAACAGAAGAGCAGAAGCCGAATGGTCAGGGATACAGTCGAAGAAGGGATGCTCTTCTGGACGGAGATCAACAAGCTTTCATGATCGCTCTCATTCGTGCAAATCTTTTGCTTACACTTCTTACACTGCTTACACGTGCCCACACTTGCCATCACTTGCCATACATACATATGTGCGCCTAAAGACATGCAGAAATGGAAGGACGCGACTCTCTCCCGCAAAAGTTAGGGTGCGCAAATTATTATGCATATTAAAATCAAAAACAATTTCACTCCGTCGCACTGGGGCGCTGGCTGTCAAGCCGTAAATGACAATTTTGTTAAATGTCAGTAATTAATTGAACAAAAAAAAATCACATATGTATGTATGTATGCCCCATCTCCCCCTTGCATATGTAATACGCATGCGATATTCCTATATGTCGTATCTCTGCTCGACTGACGCTGATTGCAGGTGTGATAGATGTGCAGAATGTGGCAGAGAGATAAGGTAACCGAATGTTTTATGGCAATGTTCAGGGGCATGCGATAAGACCACTCACTGTCTCCCCCTCCCAACCCCACTGTCTCGCTTACACACTTACCCATCATTGATAGCAGAACTAATCCCAGTGCCGTCATGCTGTCTCTGTTTCTCCTCCTTCTGATGTTGCTGCTGCTGCTGCTGATACTCCTGTTCTGCTGCTAGAGTTGTTGTTAAACTTGCTGTTAGATCTCTGCTCTGTCTGGCGGGTCTCGTCTCTCTTGTTAGGAACTTTTTCGTGTGTTTTGTTTGCACAAATGTGACTTTGATTTAGGAACTTTTTGTGTGGATTGTTTCTCGCTTCTCTTCTCTTCTCTTCGCTTTGTCGCGTTGTTGTTGCTTTTGCTGCTTCTTTAAATGTTTTGTTTTTGCAGTGGCAAGAATTGTGCAAAAATTTCGATTGTAGTGCGAAGGTCACTCTGTGGTGCTTTGGTGGTGCGAACGCGTAACTTTTTGGGTGCGAATGGGTGCCTCACATAGCGCAGAGAGTCTCTTGGCTTGGGTTATGTTTCGTTTTCGTATCACAAGCGCGAATGTGGCCAGCATAAGGGCGCACCTGTGTTTATAGACGAACGCGAAAAAATCGGAACGAAACTCTGCTGCTGCTACCGCTGCTGCCGCTGCCGCTGCTGCCACTGCCGCGCTGTCGTCGTCGACGGCCCGCAATGCCAAACAAATTTTTAATCGCATGAAACTTATTGCCAACGGCCGATCATCATTTGCGCTCGCCGCTCGCTCACTTCCGCTCTCACTCCTCTGCCAGAGATAGAGAGAGAGAGAGCTTTCAAACTCAGTCTCTGCATTAGCTGTCGCTGCGACTGTAGCTGTTATCAGTAGGGTGGGGATTGCCGGGGATTGCTGCGGCGTTTGGCAAAGGTCAGACTATGGTCGAAATGAAATGTGAGATGTGATATGCCCACTGTCTGTCGACTGTCCGCTGCTGGTTCGATGTGAATTACTCGGCGTCGTGCAAACTCGTTGGCCTCATTTGAACCGCGTTCCGGTACTTTTTCCCCCACTGCAAAAGGGTTCTTTTTTTGAACACCCTTACAAAGGGTACTACAGTTATGATGTGGAGTTGGCAAATGCAGAAAAATATACACACCTTCAAGCAAGAATAAAATTTCAAACAGAATCAACCATTTCTACATATGTATTTTTGCAATTGGATGCACTGAATATACGAAACGAATCGCTGCGTTTCAATTTTCCACAGCTCCAATGTGTTGTTCTTGCGGTTGCCAAGCGGTTTGATGCACGTGTCAGCGTGACTGTCGATTCCTCCCCCCCCATTAAGGGACGGGGGACGAGATATTGCTCACTCCGATATGCAATTAAGGTTAATCGTCGTAAACTTTGAACAGTCTCTGGGGAAGAATTCACGCCTCGCAGTCTGCAATCACAACTTCCGAATGACAAGTGGGAGGGGGGGGCGGTGGGTGGCAATTATAACTGTGTTTTAGTTAGTGGACAATTAGATAATCATGCGGCGCTGTGTGGATTGTTATGGATCAGTGGTCTTAATGCGGGCTACGCTACGGTACGTACGAGTATCGTCGGTTCAATATCGGTCAGTCTTGAAGGTCGCCAGCAGCAGATAAGGGTTCCGTTCCCGTTCCCGTACAATCGCTCTATTGCTCTATCGCAGCCGTAAATCAGCTGCCGGGGGGAAGTTGCTCGTTGACAATATTTCCATTCCACACAATACAATAGTTGTACGAACCACGATCCCATAGACAGAACCCCCCAAGGTTCTCCCATCAGCAGTCACGGATTACTATACATGCTATCTTATATTATACGAGTATATGTATCTCTCTCCTTGGTCTATTCATTATTTTATGGATTATACAAGGTGGAAGATACAAGCACAATTTCCGATTGTCGTTTGTTCATCTTTGTGGGTGACTCTCGCCTTGTCGTGACTTGCCACTTGGAAGTTCTCGAGTCACTGCTAGGGCTTTTGTAGATCTAATGAACTTTGTTCTATGATATTTGAACCATTTCGTTATTATTTTGCTTCTTTCAAGGCTATTCTTTTCATTATAAATCTACTATCCTATGGCAGATCATATCTGGGCTAGTATTCTGTCCTTTTTCAATACAGTATCGTATCCATATCGTTTTCTTGTATCCCGTGATCTGTTCACTGCGATAATCTCTTCAGCAGCATCTAAATTTGCTGTCTCTCTGTTTGTCACATGCTGCTGCTGCTTTCTTTGCCTACCATCTCCGGGTATACTCTTCTTTTTTTTTTTTGGTTGTTTGCCTTGTTGTTTTTCGAGGACTGGGGATCCCCTGACTGCTGTGGTCGGTCGTCTGTCCGTTTGTCGGTTTTTGGGGGAAGTCCAAAATGCGCTGCAAATGCGGCGGCAAATGCGGGTATTAAATTGCTTTAGTCGGAGTGTCGGAACGGAGATTGGACGGATAGACAAATTAACAGCATTTTATTTTCCGTTGTCGATTTATGGCTGAATCTGTATCTGTTTCTTTTGTTGCTTCTCACAGAGAGAACGAGAGAGATGGAGAGAGGGATGCGGTGGGGCACACAGGTTTTTCAGGTCGAAATATTCGGGGGATCTACCGCCGGAACGCTGGGGAGAGACCACCAGATGCGTTCTGGCGCCGCAGCAGCAGCAGCCAAAGGAAGTCCAAATCGCAGACTCATTTTCTGCCTCCCGCTTTTTGCTTTTGTTTATGCTTGTGGCAAGGTAAACACGCAGCACCACGCCTGCCACACGCCCCTCGTTTTTCCTACCGCATGAGCTTCTAAATTTATTACCCTTCAGAAAAAGGGGAAATTTTTTCTCGAACGCGCTCTTTGAAATAGTTGAATACTTTTGAACAGCAAATAGTTGCGCGCGGTACTTACCACAAATTGTTGCCAGCTGTTGTTCCTCAAACTCTTTTTGCAGCTCGCTGGCTTGCGGTGCCACGGAGATGGCGGTTGATCCAGACGTCTTGTCGCCCATGTTGCGTGGCAAACTGAATGAAGTCCGAAAACGTGATACGGCCAAGCCTTCGAACACTCAATTGAAAGTGTGGACCCTAGAGAGCCAGCGCCATGTATCGGTGTGTGGGACAAGTGGCTTTGATTAGAAGAGTTCTTGTTATCTATAGATGCTCTATCTTTGGGAAGGTGTATGCAGCATGATGGTCACAAGGGGAGAGAAAACCAATCCCTTCATGGACTCTGATTGGAAATAGATATAAACGTATGTTTGTACTCTAAGCGCCATAAAAGGATTCTGCTTTTCGAATTGCTCCGTATCTAAAGATTTAGGGCATCCTCTAGTCGGTCCTTTGCTGTTTCCCCTTCCCCAGAAAAGAGAAGAATGCTGGCCATTGTTCCCATGGCTCCATAGTTGATGGTTCGTCGCACTAATCGGCCATCTTATCAGGGGTATTAAGTGTGCCGCTGCCGCTACCGCGGCCTCTGTCCCAACCACTAACTACGCCTTGGCACGCTCTGCGCTGCTTCTACACCGATGAAAAATACCAAGCACTTACTTGTACAATAAAAATAAAAATCACACCACAAATACTCGTAATCACAAGCATAGTTTTTGTCTGTGTTGATTTGTTTCGATCAGGGTAGGGTATTCACATTCGCACCAAGGTAAACATTATCAACGGCCTTAGAAGCCTCACTCCTCACTCCACACATTAGATAAATAAATAGCAATATGTAGTATATGAATGTATCTGTGTGCGAGTGTGTGTGTGTGTATTACAATTAACAAAAGTAATTGCAATCGAAGCAATGGAAGGGATAGTGGGGGGGATTGGGGTGGCATGCTGTTGGTATTAAAAGGGGAATCCCTGCGGCCTCCATGAAAACCTCTTTGTTGCTGTACAGCCAGCCAGTCACTTCACAGTCCATTACACTGCGGGAAAAACAAAAGGAAAGGAATGTGCAGGGCAGAGGTATTTACAGAACTATTTACTGATGGAATGCTCATAGTATACATAGCAATGCGGGTCAAAAGGTTATTAGAGTAGTAGATACGTATATACATACATAAATCGATTGAATGCATGGAGAGGAAGATTATTTTTTGATTTAGATGCATTAAATATTCGAGCTCGTTGGAATACTAAATTGCTCTTCAGTGTAAAGATCATTTTCACTTGCAAAAATCGTATTTCCGACCAAGTTCAAAGACATCTCTGATTGTGGTACTCCTTCTTTTCTCTCACTGTATCCACCATTTCTAGCTCTACATACATACATATATGTAGGTGTCTGTCTCTATTTTGTCACTAGCCTAACCAGCGAGCAGGCACGAGCGAAATGGAACCTTTTGGGTGCACAATTCATCAGATGTTGTAGCCATAGCCGTATCATTGTCTAGGCAGATTAGTTATGCTTTGCTGGTTAGAAGGAGGAACACCCTTACACCCTCCTGCCCACCCTCCTGTCCTGCTGCTGGTAGAGCCAGGGAAGCGCAGATACAGAAATTGGTTGTCCTCGCATCCTCGCGGAAAATGGGAGGATGCTCACGCACATGCCATATATTAGAGGGGCATAAAATGACAAACGACTTGCGAGGCGCGTAAATTGAAAAGCTCTGAGCCATGTACCAAACGATGCCGAAGCGAGGGCTGGAATCGAAGGGTGGAAATCGAGGGGAGAGGACATGGATTTCGGCGACTTTTTGGCTGTTTGTTATTGCTGCCAGGGAATCAGAGAAGCAGGCACCCACTCTCTCTCTCTCTCTCTCTCTTTCTCTCTCTCACTTTCTGTCTCTGTTGCTGGCTGGGGGCCAAAACTTTCGCCAAAGTATTCAAATTAAAATTTCAATTAAGGAAGTGAATTTGTGTGTGCCGAAAGTGTATTAAGTCTATACGAGTGGTGGCATCTTGGCATTTGGCTGGTGCCACGTGTGTGGCACGCCTCCTTAGGTTCGAAATAACCCACAAACGAACCGAATACCCCATCCCCCATACCCCCGTCCATCATCCCACCATCTACCATCAGGATCCGCCTGCCGCCACATTGTTTGATTTATTGCCAAAGTTTGTCGTCTGTCATATGACATAAGGAGAGTACTTTGTTGGAATATTTTACATTTCATGTAAAGCCACCATCGAATCCCCCTTTCCCGCATCCTGACACCTTGCTTGGCTTTTCCATTGAATTGCGAATGAGGCGCCACCTCTCCGTGCCCCTCCGTTCCTCTGTCTCTCACTCTCTGTGGGCATTATTAATAATGCAATCAATTTGTAAACAATTTGGCATATATCAATGCGCTTCGTGCCGCCCATAAATCTCTGGGAAATTAGTTACCCCTCGGGTTTTGGCCCGGTCATTTGCATCTCAGATTCCAGGCTGCTGCTGCTCCTCCTCTGACAGATTGTAGTGCGTCGTCCTTTGGTGATAGATGGGCGGCTTGGGCTGAAAGGCGGCCTGGAACTGGCAGCGGAACAGCGTGCCCGGGTCAGGGATCCAAAAGGGAAGCCATGAGGGATAGTGGACCCGGATTTTGCCATATTTTTGCGCTTTGGCTGCTGCTACTCCTCCTCTGGTGCTCTGGCAGTTAGTGACAGCTGCGGTGATGACCTGGCTGTTGCAGCAGCATCAGCGGCAGTGGGGCAAAAACCATAACGCGTATTCTGGTCGCAGCAGGCCATACCCAAACAGAGTGGCCGAAGGGGGAAAGGCTGAAGGCATTCCATTTGTGGCATCAGATTTCAGTTTCAGTTTTCAGCAGGCGAACATTCAACATTCAACGGAAATACGGAATAGATTCATAGAACAAATTCGGTCCATTTCTGGTTACTGGAATAGGAATAGAAATACAAATCTGTAGCTGTTGCTGCAGCCAGAGACACAGAGAGACAGAGAGGTACATCTCGCATCCTTTTAGGGCAAAGTGGTCGTGTCCTTCAGCTAATCGAATAAAGTTAAGGCTCCAGTGTCCAGTGGCGACACTTCCGTTGCGATGTCCGCTGTGTGCTTAAGGACAGCCAGCAGGAAAAGCAGAAGCAAGAAAAATGGCAAATTGAAGTTACGCTGCCACTTGTCTTGCTGCTGCTGCCTGCTGCTGCCTGCCGCCTTGGCCCCAATTTAAAAGTTTATGAACTTGTCAACCAACTGGCGCCTCATCTTTCCCTCTCTCTCGTTCCCTCTCTCTCTTTGCAGTGAACAGCACAACCAAGCAGCAAGGATGGCGGGGCGACTCAATCAGCAGCATGCCGCATACGCGCAGCGCAGGGAGCAGGAGAACACTCGCGTTCAGGCCACGCAGGCGGTGAACCGCTACTACGACCACTGGGGCAAGGTGACGACGCGCTTCGAGAACTGGACCAACAAGGAGTACTACGAGAAGGCTGACAAGAAGCTGCAGAACCGCAAGAATCAGAAGCAGAAGGACATTGACCTCACAGAGCGCAAGGGCAGGCTGCGGGAGCTCCTGGACACGGAGAACGAGGCCTACGACATCGAGATGGGCCGCAAGCGTCGGCCCAGAGAGTACTCCGCGGACACGCAGCTGCTGGGGCGTGTCAATCAGTCCCTGAAGGAGCAGGAGCAGCTCAAGCGAAAGCTCGAGATGGAGGCCAAACTGTACGGCCGTTGGCGGCATGGGGTGGACGACGAGAAGTTTCTCTACCAGTCCAAGTCCGACAACGAGGTGCTGGCGAAGCTCAATTGGCTGGACAAACAGATCGAGCAGCAGAAGGAGCGGGAGGAGCAGGAGGCATTGAATGCCGAGCGGAAGCTGCTGCTGCAGCAGGAGATCAGCCGCACGGAGCTGGCACAGAAAGAGCGCCAGCAGATCCAGGAGCAGCAGGTGAAGGAGATCCGTGCGCTGCAGGAGTCGCACATGGTGGAGCTGCGCCAGCGCCAGGTGGAGGCCGAGAAGCTCAAGGAGGAGGAGCAGCACTTCCGTCTGTTCATCGGGGAGCTGGAGAAGGAGAAGCAGCTGCTGGAGGAGAGCACGGCCCTTGTCCTGCAGCGCCCCGACACCGGGCAGGCCTTCAACCTGAACAAGATCAAGGTGTTCATCCGCAACCGCAGCGAGGCGAGTCGCCGCCAGATCTCGCTGTGCATTAATCTGCTCGAGCGCATGGCCAAGTACGTGGTCCGCACCGAGGAGCTCCATCCGCTGCTCGAGAAGTACAAGCAGCAGCTGGAGTCCGAGCAGCTGGCCTGCACCCAAATCGAGGCCATGTACGAGTCGGAGGCCAAGGCCAACCTCCAGCGCTGCGAGGATAACTGGCGCGAGCAGCACTTGCAGCGCTACCAGGAGCTCTCGAAGCTCATCGACACGGAGAAGGAGTGCCTGAGTGGGCTCCTGCAGGAGAATGTCAGCCAGCAGCAGGCACTCTTGGAGCTCCGCAGCACACATCTCTCTGGCATCGAGCAGGCCACCAAGCAGCTGGAGCAGATGAGCACCGGAGAGCAGGGATCAGCATCATCTGACCCGATTTCTGCGTCATCCTCCACGGATCTCTCTGCGGCGGATGGGGATCCAGCCGAGCAGAACGATGTCCCCAAAGTGAGCAACTCGTTCTCGAACCTCAATCTGGATGTGTGGCAGGATTTGCCGCCAGTGCGCGGCGGCATCGACTCGCCGCGTCTCGACAAGACGCGCTCCATGAATGTCGTCACATCGCAGTCTGCGATGCCACCGAAGTTTGCCCGCAAGCGTGTGGCATGGAACTAAATGGGGGGGTTCCAATGTTCCATTTTATATATTTTCTCTATTGAAATTTACCAAGTATTATTAAGGCTCCCTGTGTTTAGAGTTAGTTATCCGTTTCCATGTGTGTGTGTACGTGCAAGTCCCTAAACAAACACTTGTCCTACAGCCTGTATCCCACACCCATTTATAGTTGATAAGACTGATAGATAGGCACCCGTAGCGTAGCAATAAATCACCCAAATGTTGCCCCAAAAGGAAATGCGGCTTAATTATTGTCAAGTGCAAGGCGCAAGGCGCTGCCTGCCTGGCTGCCTGCCTCAGAAGTGGGTCAAGGCGTAATTGATTCCACCTGATGATGCTGATGCCGATAGGAGTAGAAGCTGCTATCCATGAAGAGGATCCGATTTGCATTTAATTTTAATTAATATTTTCAGATGGATGCTGCGAATGGCGGAAAGAGGAGTAATAATGAGGCGCAAACAAACACACGCTCGGGGCAGGCAGGCGCAGGCACTCACTTGGGCATTATTTAATGCATGTTATTCATCATTCATTTGAATAGATTGCTAGAGCCGCCACACCACCCCACCGTACCGCACCGCACTCCCCCTGGAGCCTACTCGTCAATGGGCATAAGCTGCTCCTAATGGCCAAAATGCTCGCAAATGATGATGAATACGTTCCAATTACTCCACTGCTCCACTCTACTCCGAAATTCTCTCTCTCTCTGCTCCATCATCCATGCAGGGGGAGTGGGATGGTAATATTCTGATATCATTTGATTGCTACCTGAACAGGAGCCAGCCCCAAAGTGGGTGAGTGGGGCGGGAACTGAGCAGAGAACCTGTCCATTCAGTGCACAATTTATGAAATATTGGAAAATATTATCCGCAATTACTTCTCCTCGTACTCGTGCTGACCAAACTAACGTTGCAGTCGATTTAATGGTAATAAAAAACAAGATATAATAATAACCAGATATTCACGCAAACACATTTATCTATAGATATACATATGTATGTAGATATTTACGTGTCTGTGTGTTGTATATAGGAAAATATGCCAAACGCAGGCAGCAGTCAGCACGCCTTTGATTAAATTTCTTTGAGTGTTTGGGGCACACAAAATGCAATTTCATTTGCACTAATGGCTCGCGTCGCTGCTTCTGTTGCTGTTGCTGCTTCTGCTGCTGCTCTGCTGCCGCTTCCGCTTGGCTTCGCTGCCTCCGCTGCTGCTGCTGTTGCAACAATGCAAGGCACACATAACGCTGCGGCAGAGGCACAGGCAGCGCACAGGCGAAAACAGAGCGCAAAAGTGCAAAGAAAAGCGGAAAAAACAACAAAAAGCGAGAAGCGCAAAAAAAGATTGTTAAATTGAATTAAAACCAACAACGCTGCAGCCAAGCAGCAGGGGCAAGCAACGGGGGCACGATGGAGCCTGCCGGCGGCGGCCAAGCGGAAGGTATATCATGATGAGAAGAGTTGCATGCCTCTGGTGCAGCAGCAGCTGCCCCCATCCTCCCGTCCTCCCGCATCCATCTTTAATGGTGTTACTGTTGTAACCATTCCCCCCATTACCAGCAACCAAAACGACTTCGGGGCCATCTGCCACGACGGTTTGTTTGAGCAATAAACGCAATTTGAAGGCTCACCCCTTCCCTGCGCCAGCTACTGCTTCTCGCAAAAGATTACAATGTTGAGGCCCGTTCCGCTCATCGGTATGAGAAAGGCAATGGAAATGCACCGCCCTCGCAGGGTGCTATTTTTTTAACTATCGAAACACCCTGAAAAAACATCAAAGACCAACCATTCAAGTGGTATTCTCAAGTAAAGTGCTCCACAGTCGCATCCCACCAGGAACGGAGAGTGAACTATTGGTTTTCGTTTTCGTTCTCTTTCAACGTACACCCTGGGAAGTAAATATTTTTCCGAATTGAATTTCAGCCCAGTTTAAGGGGAACCTGCCCAAAACCTTCGCTGTGATTTTCAAAATAATTGAAACTCACATTAAATTTTGTAAGCCCCAAGTGAATATTTCATCTCGGGGACTTTTCTGACATTCTAAGAAATCTGTAAATCTTTTTGTTTTGCTGGTTTCGTTTCGTTTAAGGGGAATGGAACATAAATTACCATAACAATTGCGGCCAGGCGATGTTCATGTTCCTTGGAAAGCTGAAATGAGAAAGCAGAGAGAGCAGCTGTGAGGCAAGATGACAGAATAAATATACTCGTAACTCGGCACGAACATTAATTCATTTATTCATGTATTCATTCTGTGAGTCATTCACTCATTCATTCTGTCTGTCATTCAAGCTGTCGTCTGATTATCATCGCAATTCATGGAATCAAATTGTTTGCTTTGCCAATTGGTTGTATCTATTTTGACTCTGCCATCCGATACACTCGGACGAACCACTGCAGTGGGCACAACAGATCAGATCAGATCTCCTTCCCCTTCATCCTTCTACTGTAACCAGGCTACAGGCTACCTTTGAGGCATCGAAATTTCCGATTCAAAGAGTGGGTCGGTGCGCGGCAGAGGGGATTTGTGGCAGCAACGAGTTGCAGAAGGATTACAGCATGATTACAACAGGTGTGGATTGGTCAGAGGCAGAGGCAGAGTCAGAGTCAGAGTCAGAGTCGGAGACTGACTTCCCTTGTGCTCACGTGGCATAATCTGTCAGGCGACGGCGACTGTCCCTTAAATAAGATTAACTGCGAGGAAAGCGAGTGGTGGTGGGATGGTGGAGGCGGATGTGAATGGGCAGGCGGATATGAAAGGCTCACAGGCACCAGCGGCAGCTCACAAAGACAGAGTAATGCGATGAACAAGGCCCAGGGAATCATGCTCACATATCGGCCTCGTAGAATATGGGAGAAGGAGCCACAGTCAGAGCCAAAGCCAAAGCCAGTGGCAATGGCAAAGGCAGAGACAGAAAACCGGAGACCGTGCCACAGTCGCCGCCTTTTCATCCGAGTGACATTTACGTCAACAATTCAGCAAACAATTGGCAAATGTGGCCATAAAAGCATGACAGTTGTCACTGCCGTTGTCGCTGTTGCTGTCGTTGCCACTGTCAGTGGCACTGACTATCCTTGCCACGTCTCCACTTGCCACTCCATGGCTCTGCCGCTGCTGCCTCTTGCTGCCTCTTGCTGCTTGGCAATGCACAAAGCGGAAACGGATGCGGATGCGGAAATACATGTATGCGTGTTGCTGCTACTGCTGCCGCTGCTGTTGCAACTGGTTGATGTTGCTGCTCTGCTGTCTATCTGTCAGTCTGTCTATCTGTCCGCCTGCCTGCTTGTCTGCCTGTCTGTGGTTGCTCCCATGGGAGAGCGATGGCTGAGCCAAAAGCCAACATGTCGCCAACAGGAGACTAAGCCCCGTCCAGGCCGCACATTATGCCGGCTAAGCCTTCAGTCAATTGCATTCAAATAAGCGACTGAAGAGACGTTCCATCCTTCCATCCTCTCATACGGTCTATGCCCCACTCTAAATGCTGAATGGGGAATGGGAATGCTGCATGCCACAAACTGCCCGCATCCCAGGCCCCTTTTCCATATACCCGTTGCCACTCTGAATGGCAATCGTACTCGGAATGGCACGAGTCCGAGCAGAATGAGGATGAGAGCGACAGAGAGGGATAGAGAGAAAGGCCTCCCTCCGTTTACATATGCAGAGCTTTCAGAGGAGCCTGCCTCCTACTCCTCCATGTCCTCGCTCAGGAATGTTCAATTTCACCCATGGACTGCTCGGGCATCGTTTCATGTATCACTTTATGACTATGCCACTGGCAGCAGCAGCAAAAGCAGCAGCAGCAGAAGCAAGGACGAGAAGAACCTGCGGCTTGCGTTTAAACTTTAAACAACATTTATATTATCTGTTCCCGGTGCTCGGTGCTCGGTACTCGGTACTCGGTTGCTGCTGCCATTGGGTCTCGTCTCCCTTCAATCCTGAAATCCTGCCACTACCAATCCCAACCGCCAACAGTTTGCTTCATTACTTTTCCCCTCGCCCCTCCTCATGCTGTTGATGCTGCTGCTGCTGCTGCTGCCACGCTGTCTGTTATTTTCGATACCCATTAAATCGCAGAGAACGAAGCATCTTGGACTGCACAAAACCATTACGATATCTGCCACTGATCCTTATTAAAGTCTCGAAGATCGACTATATCCATACATCAGGCATGGGTATGGGTATGATCCATTCTTAAAGGGTATGACTATATCCATACATCAGGCATGGGTATGGGTATGATCCATTCTTAAAGGGTATCCAAAGCTTCGCACCCTACGGGTTTGGGGCTCGGTTGAATCTTTTTCTGTTAAGTATGCAAAAAATGCTGCGTAAATATGCCAGCAACAAAAAGAAGAGCAGCAACAAACAGTGGCAGCCACAACAATAGTGGCAGCAGCCACATCAGATCAGAGCCAACAGCAGGGGCCACGAGGCAAGGGTAGAGCATCGCTTAAATCTGTTGTTGTTGTTGTTGTTGCTGCCGCATTACACACATATACATATGTAATTCAGTTTCAGTTTCATAACTAAAAAACCATAAAACAAAATTGTGTACACACCCCCAGAGTAGACCAGACCAGACCAGACCACACACAGCTGATGGAGGAGGAGTCACCACTGAGTGAGCGATCCGAAAAAACACCCGCATGCCGCGCAAAACGAAAACAAGAGGGAAAACACACAGGCAGAGGAGGCTGTGGAAGAGGCAAAGGCAGAGGCAGAGGCTCTGCTCTGCTCTGGTGCCATAATAAGCATCGCATCACATCGCATCGAATGAGCGCACGAGTACAGTGGGGATTAGCTAAATGAAAAGCCCTCGAAAGGCAACTCATGCATGGGGCAGAGCGAGCCCGAGCGAGAGCGGAAGCAAGGAGTTTCCCAGTTTGTTTTGCGGCAAACAAAAGCCGCAGGAGAATGCTGCAACATTATAAAGCGAACAATGAGCACGCGAACGAACGAACGAACGAACGAACGAACGAACAGTGGGACTGCCGATTGAACGACTGACTACAGTGTGACCCACAGAGGGGGTACGTTGCAGTGTGGGGGAGGAGAGGAGAGGGCTTCGCACGAATTGAGTTATCTTTGGGCACCCCTTTTCGGGCTGTGACTCGCATTCCAATTGGATTACTCACAGATGATTAGGCCCACCCGCACCTAAATGTGCGATTAAGTCATTAGGGGAAATGCTAGTCGGGGCAAAGGGGGGGGGCTGGCTGTAATCAGAGAAGGA